TGGATGTCCCTATGCCAACCCAAATGTTTAGAGGGTATGGGCTTTAGGGATTTGGAGGTCTTCAATGTTTCACTCCTGGGGAAGAAATTGTGGCGTCTGGCCACTCATGAGACCTCTCTAGTCAGTCGTGTGTTTAAGGCAAAATATTATCCCCGTACGACTATCTTAGAGGCATCACTAGGTCCATCCTCGAGCTATACTTGGAGGAGTCTGTGGAGTTCGAAAGCGCTCATAAAGGAAGGCACGTTGTGGAGGGTTGGAGATGGTCAAAAAATAAAAATCTGGTTCGATCCTTGGCTTATAGACGATGAGAATCGCTTTGCTACATCTGCTGGGAATGTCGAGATGTGTAACTATGTGGAAGAGCTTATTGATAAGGAAAATTGCAGTTGGGATTTGCAAAAAATTGAGGGTATTTTTAACGATCGTGATAAGCAGGCTATATTGGCGATCCCATTGAGTGACAGGCTGTCGGAGGATGTTCTCACATGGGCATGGTCTAAGGATGGACATTACAGTGTTAAATCCACTTATACACTAGGTAAGTCTCTGGACCTTGATAATTTTGAGCAATATTGGGTGGAGATATGGAAGGCAAATGTCACTCCGAAAGTAAGACATTTCCTTTGGAGGTGTTGTACTAACACTTTGCCCTCAAGAAACCTTCTGCATTACAGACACATGACAGAGGACCCTCAGTGTCCTTGCTGCACCTCAGTGACGGAGACAGCTCTGCAGCTACGGTACTATGTCCCAGCTCACATGGTTTGTGGTTGCGAAGTGGATGCCAATCAACCCTCCCCCTTGTTTCCTCACAATCTTTCGGAGTGGTAATTCTCAACTGGGCAGAACACCTCCCTCCTGAGATATATCAGAGAAGTTTGTTTCTGAGTTGGTTCATATGGTTTCGGCGCAATAGATGGGTCTTTGAGAATGCTTGGGATCCGGATGAAGCCATCCTTCACAGGCATAGCAAGCTTGTTGTCGACTTTGATGAGTACACGAGAAAGATCTATGGGAGTTCAGCTCCTCCTACTACTCTGTCCAGCAGGAGACCTGGAACCCCCCCCCCTCCAGGTAGTATCAAAGTCAATGTGGATGCGAGGGTCTCTGATGATGGTTGGATAGGGTTGGGCACTGTTGCTCGTGACTGCACAGGTAGTGTTCTATTCTCGGCTGTTAGCAGGCATAAGGCTCGCTGGGATCCCTTAATTGCCGAAAGCAAAGCTGTTTGGTACGGGTTACAGAAGGCTGTGGAGGATGGTTTCAGTAATATCATTCTTGAGGCAGATTCTTTGGTGTTGGTAAACAAGCTAAAGAAGAAATCGTTTTCTCTAGCAGCAGTTGATAATGTTTTGGAGGACATCATCTTTGCTAGTGCCAGCCTTGCTTCCATTGTTTGGTCTCATGTTAAACGGGATGGGAACTTTGTAGCCCACCACTTAGCAAGATTAGTTCCTTGTAATCATGAACAAGTGTGGGAAAACTCCATACCGAACGAAGTTTCCTCATATGTCTTGTTAGACTCCCTTTCTATGAATTAATGAAATTCTACTGTTTTATTCAAAAAAATATATATATATATATATATGTATATAATTTTTTCATTAGGAATATTATCTCATTCGTCAGATATTTTGGATAGTTTTTTTAAAGTTATTTTTTTTAAATAATTTTAATCCTAAATCACTATTCATAGGGTTTTTGTTTACTTACGTGGCACATAAAATTAAAATAAAATCATCTCAAATCTTATTCGACTTTCAATCTCTGCTCTAGATCCGTCCTGTGTGTTTGGCATTCTAACTACCACTTGCCACTAGCAACATCACCTCTAGCAGGAAGAAGGATGTCAAATAGCAGAGAAGTTTTGCAAGGGCTTGCCATTGGTGGCAAATATCATTAAACACCAACTTTCTTTGAAAGAAGACCTTGACCTATCGACATGTAAAGACTGGTAAAATATGTCAGAATTCAATGAACTTATTATTCCAAGTTTAAAATTGAATTATTCTGATCTTTCAATCTTTCTGGAAAAAAAAATTTACCCTTACTTTTCTCTCTTCTCGAATACGGAAGAATGATTTGGTTCAATTATGGTTGGCGGAGGATTATGTTAAACCTCAAGTTGTAGGGTTACAATAAATTAGAAATGGTAATGTTTTGTATAATGCAACAATATACAAATGTTTTGTATATGCAACAATATACAAATGGTAATGTTTTGTATAATGCAACAATATACAAATGGTAATGTTTTGTATAATGCAACAATATACAAATGGTAATGTTTTGTATAATGCAACAATATTTTGGTGGGTGGTTTATTCATCGATACAACAATTTTGTGAAAGTTCTTATTTTACCCAAGCTTTGGTAATATTATTGTCTCCACACTACATCACAAGCATGTATTTACAGTGGAGTATGTTGATTCTTAACTTGTTCCACCATTCTTCCTTGCACTAGTTCTAGATTTTTCCTATAATATTTACAACAAGAACTATTTACAAGATTTTTCCATACACTATAAATTCTAGATTTTTCTATTTTATTCTAGATAATCTACATACACTGGATTTTTCTAGATTACCATGTATCAACAGTTACTGGAGTAGTAACCCATATGGAGGGACAGGAGGGTCAAGACCTTTCCCTGTTCTTCCTTCCCTTTTATGCTTCACATTTATATATTGATGAATTGGGACTACGCTAACTCTTAACCCAATCTTGTTTTTACTCCACGCAACAGCTGAAGCTAAGCAAGGGGCAATTTTTAATCACTAAAGTTTCAAGTGAAGCAGTAAGTCCTCCATTTGGAAATAATGATGAGAGCTTGGTGCATTGGTTTTAGAAAATTTGACTTTTACCACCTGCCAATAACCACTTATTGGTTTTTACCACCTCCATCAAAAAAAGTTTTATTTTACCACTACATAAAAATAATTAAAGTTGGCTTTTACCACCAATCACCCCCAACTAACGGATTCACGCCATAAATCCGTTAGTGGGGCCTACCATGTACACGTGTCACTATATTATTGACTAATTTTTTACAAAATAAATAAATAACAAAAAAAATGAAAAAAATGAAAAAAATAAATAAAAACACATCCACCAACCGGCTCCCAGCCCTGCCACCAGTATCGGCTCCCTGCCCATTGCCGTTATTGACGGCCCAGGCCAGCCAACCCTAGCCCTATCCCCAACACCCCCTCCCTTACCAATTTTCGAGTCTCTTCTCTAGACCCACCGGATTTCGACCCCAGCTTGCCCTTGCCCCAATACCAGATTTTGACCCCCTTTCAACCAATTTCCGACCTCAAAACCCTTGCCACCGAATTTTGACCTATTTCCCACCGATTTTCGACCCCAAAACCCTAGCCACCAAATTCCAACCACCCATAAAGCCCCCTCCTACCGTATTCTGACCACTCTTAAAACCCTAGCCACCACCAAATTTCGACCTCCTCCCTAACACCACCTAATTTCGACCCCCCCTAGCCCACACAAAATTTCGACCCTTCCCTAGCCCCACACCAAATTCCGACCAACCGATGTGGAGTTGATTTCATTCCCGGCTGGTTGGCATGGAAGATCGGGGGAGACGAAGAGGAAATGTCAAAAAGGTGGGCCCTACTAACGAATTCATGGACGGAATAATCAGTTAGTTAGCGATGAAATCTAATTTTTTGAAATTTTGTTGGTGGTAAAGTAAAGCTTTTTTTATGGAGGTGGTAAAAGCCAATAAGTGGTTTTTTCATGGTGGTAAAAGTTAAAATTTCCTTGGTTTTATTCATGTATTCTAAAGCTTTGTTTTGTCAGCTCACATAGTGCAACCAAATTTCTAGGGCAACTTAATCATTTCGTTTATAAGGTTCTTTTTGCAAGCTCACAATGAATCAAGTATGAGTAGTATTCAAGTTAAAGTTGTTAGGCACCGTTCACTGCACTTTATTTTTGCTGAATTGAAATTATTTTTACTGAACTGAAATTATTTTTGCTGAATTAAAAATTATTTTTTGAGCTGAAATTATTTTTACTGATTTTCTATTATATTTATTTTTTAAAATTACTGATTTTTACTAAACTGAAATTAATTTAACTGAAATGGACTTATTTTTATTAAATTGAAATTATTTTCACTGAACTTAAATTATTTTTACTAAATATTTTCTTTTAAAGGTGAAATGAACAAGGCCTTAGTATAGTACATTGCCACCATTAATCGTGTTTGGTAGTAGTCCATCATGTAATGCTAAGATCATGGAACTTCAAGTCTTCATCACTTTGACCACACACTACATTCCTCCTTCGGCATCTCTTTCAATACATTTATAAGCTAATGAAAAAGCTTCTTAAAAGAGCTTATATGTTTCACAACTTACCACCAACAATACGACCACTTTGCCTAAAGTCTTAAGTATGACGTCATGGTGAGCCCCACTAACTATCACCCCTCTGATATTTCCCTTATTTTCTTTGGTTGTGGCCCGGTTTAGTAATTAGCTGGTAGCTGATTGAGATAAATGGTTGTAATAGCTGCTTTGACTAGATGGTCTGATTAACTGGTTATAAATAGCTGATTGTGTAAAAGTGTTTGCAAAATAGTTGTCAATTGTTAGCTGTTTTAGTGTATTTAATAGCTAAAAAAGCTTGTTTAATAAGCTAATTTCAAAAAGCTTTTATAATGAGATTTTTGTAAAAGAGCTTTTTAGTAAGCTACTTCCTCCGTTCTTTTTTACTTGACTCGCTTTGCCTTTTACACTATTCGCCACCCCTCCTTTGACCGTGTTTAGTGAATAATATGTAAGGAAAAATATATTCATGTTGGATCTTTTTGAATTCGTCTCAATAAATACTATCATAATATATAACTTTTATATTTTTTTACTTATGGAGAATTAAAGTTATTGATCGTTAAAATTTTGCATTGGCAAGCGTGATAAAAAAAACAGGTCAAGTAAAAAAGAACAGAGGAAGTATTTCTTAAGCACTTAAATTAGCTTTTTTAAATGTCAAAATCACTAATTAGGCTAAGCTTTCTAAAAAGCTGTTTTACCAAATAAGTTTTTTTTAAGATGAAATAACACTTATATCCTCATTTAATTTAAAAATTATACCCCACAATTAACTTATTGGTCATTTCGGTGTATGGGGTTATTATCAATTTTACTAAGATAAAAAAATTAAATAAAAAATTAATAACCGGATGAACGTAGACACGTAGTCCCCTCCCTCCTTCTCTCTCTCAGTTCTCCATTGAAGCGCACTCTTCGTTCTCCATTGAAGCGCCTTTTGATACTTGTATCCCCCATTGAAGCAGCTTCTGAGGTAATTTGCTGTTTCCATTTGTAATCATCATGTCAATTTCACAATCTATGGTTTATCGTTAATCTAATTTAATTATAATTGTCAGTGTAGTAAGTTTAGGGTTCGAAAATTTTAATTATTGGTTCTAATTACTGACATTATATGAAAGATCATAACTAGAGATTATGTTGCTAGAAATTTGATAATTGAATCAAATGTGCCTTTCCTCCCTAAAATTATTTATGTGATAATTAATTGAATCAAATTTGGTTGCTAATGTGTTGCAGAACCCTTTAATGTTAGAATTGAACTGTGAAATTAGACCTCTTCTCTTTGGGCCCTCCTACCCTATCTCTGATTACTATTTGTTGGTGCTTACTAGCTGAAAATGTTGTAATTTCGCAATTTCGGTTATGCTTGGAATGAGGAAGTTCAAGTAAGGGGTTAATAATTTGTATTATAGATGGGGAGGATAAATCTTGCTATCAAATAGGATTAATCAATTCTTCCTTATTTTCATCCTCTTCTCTCCTTCGCTATTACAGGCTATAAGTTACTCCAATACTCCTTCCATTCGAATATCGGTATTAAGATGTCCAGAAAAAGTTGTCACTTATTCCATTTAGTAACGGTCTGTGATAAGTTGATGTGAACCTAAAAACATATTGTTGTTGGCTCATAGTTCTCTATCACGAGGTTACATATGGCTTCTTACTCATAATGTGTGGTATTCGTGCATGCAGGTGAATTGTAGCTTTAGCTTGGTGATAATACTTCGTATATTGTATCGACATTTGGAATTCCATTCAAAGGATCATCCAACCTGATTCTCTTTGTTAGTAAGTTTAGGAGTTGAAAATATATACTAAATGGATAACTTTCGCGGAAATCCTCCCCCACCTGGTGTGCAATCTGCGCCAAATTTTATTTCTCCAACTTCATCTGTACCACCATCACAGCATTTTGGCAATGTTCCGAGGCCTCATGACCAATTCTTTCAACATCATATGAATCATTCATTTCCTGTACCTCCTTATGCAACTCAACCTCCACATGGCCAAGCCTTTCATCCACATGTTGGTCCACCACCTCAATTTAGTGTCACTCCTTATGCTCAGTTCCCTGCCCAAATGCCTAATAACTATCAGTATGGTAATGGGTTACCCCATCTGATGCCAGCCTATCAACCTCCGCAACAATCAATCCCCAATAACTTCAATGGAGCACCACACAACATGATTCAGCCACCTCAACCTGGAACAGGAACTTGTTTTGATGCTGGTGCTAGTGATGAACCATTGCCTGTAAATGTCGGAAGTTCAGAGAATGTAGCACAGGGAGCTCCAGCCAGTGACCATAAAGAGAAGGTGCAGGATGATAGAACCGATTGTATTCAATCGGGAGCAGTCATATCTGATCCGTCTAATGTCCATCCAAGTGGCTTATCAAATTCTCAAGTTGAAGCTTTGCAAGGAACTCCCTTAGTGGATAGTGGGCAGAAACCTGTAGATACAGATAAATATGCTTCTGGAGAAGATAAAGGACTGTATCACCAAGCTGCTTTGCACTATCCTCAACAACCCAATGATGAGATTGAGACTGCTGCTCAGGCTGCTGTGTTACGTGAGCAAGTATGCTTGTTGGAGATCTGGTTTTTTGTTTACTTTTAAGCTAATTTAGTGCTGATAGGAATGTGATTGATTTTTCTTTTTCCTTGATTGATCAGGAAATTGCTACTCAAAGGATTATTGAAAGCCAGAGGTTTGCCTATATTCTTTTCAGTTCTTCTATAGAATAAACAATGGCAGAATGTACAGCTGAAAGATGGCTCTCACATAATTTAGCTTTGTTACTTCAGACAGGCCAGAGGAACTAGCACACTGCCTGAAGATAAGAAAGACTTTTTATCTGGACAGTGTGATCCAAACGCTATTAAGGTATTTAAATCTGTTTATTTTATGGATCACCGTAAGCCCTGGGTTTCCAGGGTAGCTGCTTGTTGATATGTAGTTCTGAATATTTATTCTCTTAGTTATTGAGCCTTCTATATGTATTTAATTGTTTATCTGTTGGATATATACAGGAACATTTACTGAAGTTTACAGCAGATCATCGAGCAGAAATGGCTGAAAAGCGAGGAAAGCCCTCAGCTTCTGGGAAAGGTTTATATATGACTTCTCCTTATTGTTACATTAAATTCTTGGTTTTTAAATTCCCATCTACTTTACAACCTTGGACTTTAAAATAAGACAGCAAGCTTTATAAATGATGTGGTTGTATACTTTAATCAGTCTTAGATTAGCTGTTTTTCCAATGATACCATTACAGTTAAATTCCATTTTCTTTATAAATGATGTGGTTGTATACATTAATCAGTCTTAGATGACTTTTTGTTTAAATTTATGCAGCTGTGTTTCTAATGATACTATTACAGTTCAATTCCACTTACTTAATTCCTCTAGTTGCACTTCATTTGTTTAAGTCAACATTTTCAAATCATTGTGCACATAAACTTTATTTATGACATGGCTGTAAACATTAATCAGTCTTAGATGACTTTTATATGTAAATTGGTGCATCTCTGTTTCTAATGATGTCGTTGAAGCTCAATTCCACTTTCTTTCTTCCTCTAGTTGTACTTAAAGCTGAAGAGAATTACTACTTGATCTCATGACCCATGCTATGATCTATGTTTTTGGCCTTTTTGCTACAATACAAGAATGACAGCCATTACAAGTTTGTGAAGGTTCATATGTAAGCAACCTTACACTTATTCAGTCTATACTAGGTTTTATATAATGGGAAATGTGGATCACCTTCCAATCCAATTGAGGATGGAGAGAGAATTTAGATATCTTAATAGCATCTTTTGAAAAAGGGACACTTAGTTAAAAGTACTCTATATTAAGATTAATTTTTGAATGGCGTGATTAAAATTTAAAATGATATTAAGTATGTCTCTTTTAAACAGTTCCTCTTATTGTGATCTACTATTTTGTGGTTAGGATACGTAAGTCTAGACCTCCCTAGACTTTATTTTGACAAGATATATAGTAGGTGTTCTTGTACTTCTTTCAATCTATACTTAATTTGTATTGGTTGATTGAATGAGAAAAAAAAATCATGTTTTTCTTGCTCAATATTGTATGTCATCTCAAGTAAATTGAGTTATGGTTGTTAAAAAACACTTAAATGTTATACTTTTACTCACCTATCTTGTGATCTCACCTTCAGAAGTTTGAAACACAAACCAAAGTCAGAATGAGAAAAGGGGGATTAAAGGTCAAATTGTATTATGCACAAGGCGTGACTATAGAATTTATTTGTGGCCAAAATTTCTGTTGGTTTTAGGCATACGCTTTTATTAAATTAGTAATTTGGCAGTTGTATACATATTGCTTCTCACTGGGTGGTGGAGGTGGTGATGTTTTTGTAGATTTTGGCATCTCTGAAACTATTTTGACATGCTATAATGAGTTAGTTATACATTGATAATCCTTTATTTACCTTTGCATTTCACTCTTTCTTAATTTGCTGCTGGTTTGGTTGACAGATAATCTGGAGATTGGTAATGGTTATGGTGTGCCAGGTGGGGGTGCTTATTCGAATGCTGTACTACCAAGTAAGACTGGTCTCAAACTTTTGTTATAGTCTAGTAAAGTTATTCATATCATTGATGACCTGCTCTTGATGATTAGAAACATCAGGTTTTGGTGGTGGTGAAGTAAGCAATAAAAATGCTGATTTAGCTGGAGAATCACATCAGAGCCATGGGGCAAAAGAGTTACCGGAGTACCTTAAACAGAAGCTAAGAGCAAGAGGAATTTTGAAAAATGAGCGTGCTAAAGATGATTTTGCTACAAATGATTCTGTATGTTTCTTGCTGGTAGTTACTAGCTGAGTAGAGTTCAAAGTTGGTTAAAGCTCAGACCTAGAATAGGATAATTGAATTTATTTTTCCTGTAAAAAGTAAATGCTAAGGTGTTGTTCCCTTTACCTCAATCAGAGGTTGAGAGTAGCATAACATAATTTGCCTCCACGCCCTGCAAACTGTAAATGGGAAAAAGGCAAATGATACTGTCAAATAGTAATTTTTGGCTCGATTCAACAAATCTAATAACGTAGCAAATTACAAAACTGTACCCAATCTCATACTAGGTTACTAGATTTTGTTCTGTATGTTCAGCATTTGCAGACAGGCACACAATACTGGTTAATGCTGACTCTTAGAGTAGTATAATAGGATTTGATTTTCCCACTAGAATCGTAAATACTAAAAATTGTTATATACTGTATGTGTTTAGTGTAACTCAAGCAGAGGTTGTAAGCAAGAAGAATTTTGAGAGCTAAGCCTTCCGAAGATTATCAATATTATTATGATCAGTATTAGTAAACAGTTACCTAGCAAATTATATGGTTAATGCCCACCTTAAAATAGGATATTAGGATTCCTCTTCCTTAAAAGCGTTAATACCAATGAAATGTAGATGGACCTTCTTTTTACACTTTTACCTAAAGTAATGGTTGAGAGCAAGAAGAATTTTGAAAGAACCCTTAGTTTAGGATAATGAGATGATGCAACATATGGTCTGGAAGTTTTATGTGTTTTTATTTCATTTTTTAATTGTGTGGTGTTTAAATGTTATATTTGCATTCATCCCATTCAGGCCAGTCAGGCCACTAACAAAGTTACTTTCTCCATTTACCCTGAATTCCAGAACCTAGAGGCACAATCAACTCAATCGTCAGGTGGTATCAGCCTTCTTCCTGGATGGGTGAGTTGTGATTGCTTCTTCTGTTGCATATCTTTTCTGTCGCTAAAGAAGAAAACATGAGTAGTTTGTATTACATTCATTTTACGCAATAATTGTTCCACAAGTAATATACTCCCTCCGTTCCCAAAATTTTGGCTCACTTTTCATTTTGAGGTGTTTCGGAAAGTTTGAGTTTTACTTTGTTTCATTTTTGGCAGACTCTTTTTACTAACTTACTCCTCTTACCTCCGTTCCCAATATTGATCAAGTAATATACTTTATTTCACTTTACCCCACACTATTTAAACCTTTCTGCCCACTCTCTTACTTTATCCACCCTTTTCTTTTACCTACCCACTTTCTTCTCCATCTCTCTTGCTTTATCAGCCTTTTACTTACACCCACTTTTTTCGAAATTTCCTAGAAACAAGAAGCTACAATAAGGTGAGTCGAACTTTTGGTAATGGAAGGAGTATGTATATGTTATGGGTCTTCTAAGTTTGGAGCTATGTGTATTACTGCTTTGAATTAAAAAAGCTCTGTTTAAGAACTTTAGCTGGTGTGGTAAACATCTATGTATAGATTGAAGCCAAGGACCCTGAAAGTGGTGCTTCATTTTATTACAACCAAAGTACTGGAAAGAGTCAATGGGAAAGGCCAGTGGAAACAAAGACGAGTACTCAAAGCCCTTCAACTTCAACCACAACTTTGTCAGAAGACTGGGAAGAAGCACTTGACGAAACATCTGGTATGCTGTGCAACTTTTGACCAAGTTTATGATCCTATTGACCAGATGCAGGCTCTGTATGGAAGAGATATATGTCTTTTAGGATATCTTTTTCTAGTTTAGGGTTTGCATGTTTCTCATACAAGTTAACAAGTGTGGCTAACTGAATAATCTACCAACTAAATGCCATGTCTCTTACTCTCTTTTTGTACCAAACAATTTACACAGTGCCCATCCTATTTTGATTCTTCATTTCACCTTGTGTAACCTTGTTAGATACTCACCATTCAGACAAGAGTATGACACTTGGACACTTTTTTTTTACCAAAATATACATGAGATGGCCTTCTCGACTCTTGGACACATAACCCTGTCTAACACCTTTAGTCAAGTTTGAAAAGCATTGTTTATCCTAATTTTATTGATGTGGGATGCCTGTATGTCTCTTAGTCAAACAAGTTGTTGATTCACTACAGTTTGATTGACTGATTTGTGCTCAATGCTACCTTTTTACTTTTGTTGTGGTCGGTGATTAGAATGATTGTACAATATGTGCAGGTCAAAAGTACTACTATAATAAGAAAACCCAAGTTTCGCAATGGGAACATCCTCAAATGGTGCAGCAAGTTGCCGCAGTGCACATGTCAGGTGGTACTTCAAGCAGGCTTAATGAAAGCATTTGGATGGAGCAGTCTTCCATGCCAGAGAAATGCTCGAACTGTGGTGGTTGGGGGGTAGGACTTGTACAGGCCTGGGGTTACTGTAACCACTGCACAAGGTATGTTGGTCTCCCCTGTGAGCAATGCTCCTTGTTGGATTGATAGTACTGTATATTTACCGTGCACGTGATTTCCTGCCTTCCTGGTAAACAAGTATGACATGATGTTCACGAAGCAACTACCTTTCCAAATTTGTTATCCTTTAGATATTTGCTTTTGTTATTAACTATGAGGTTGACCCCAGGGTGACGTTGATGCAAAGCATCAGATGAACTACCATGTTCCGTAGTTATATGACCTGACTTCATTGTGCGTGAGAGCCGAGAGGTTATTATGCCTCATTTCTGTTGAACCTACAGCATTTAATTCTAACATCGTAATTTGTACTGCTTGAACCCAGGACTCTGAACCTTCCTCAATGCAAAAACTTAGGGCACAGTGGAACCAGGCAGCAGAGTACTAGTGACATGGATGGCAGACAAGATTTAGAAAAAAGTGCTTCCAATCAAAGGTATGGAACGTCTTTTCTTTATGTTAAGTGATCGCTATGAATTTGTGTAATTGGTAAATTGCCCTGGCAATTATTCTTATGCTTTGATCTTATTTTGATTTGCTATTATATATCTATATAACCTAGACTAGCAAAGCAGTTTACTTGCTTAGTGCTTGCAAAGAGAATGTTCTTGCTTTGAAAGACTAGCAAGGGACAGGGAGAAGGAGAACAATCAGATTTTAAAGTTAAAAGTTCACTTTTATCTTCCCGTCAAAGAAGATACTCAGAGCTTCTTGTAGTATGTGCTCGAAAATCAGCCTCAATTGACAGTGAATTATATCTACTAGGACAATTCATTACTTGGAGAAGTACTATCAAGGATTAAGATTACTTTTTTCAGCCCCCATTATTGTTATGCTACTACATTGAGACTCTGTTAAACTTCTATTACTGTGAAGATTCTGAAGAATGTAAATGATGGAGGAGCAGAAACATCAAAGATTTATATTTTTTATTCAAACCCTTAAATGTTAGCTAATGCCTCGACTCCATTAAACTTCTATCACTATGAAGAATCTAAATGTATTCAGTTAGCAGTTTTTCGCAACATTGTCATATAAGAGTTTACTAGGTCAATTCTTGTGTCACCTCTCCAAAGAAGTTGGATTAAGGCTGCAAACTTTTGATGCCATTTTCCAGGAGCCCACCTTAATCGGAATCACATTTGCCTGCTTCTCTTCATATAAAATTTTTTTCATTTAAATATGATACCTGTAGAACTTATGCCGTGAAAATTTTTGGGCCTAGAAACCCTACTTTTAATTGTAAGGAGGTGCAGCTGAATTAGAATTGCTGCTTAGGATGGTGGGGTTTTCTGACTTCTCTTTTCCTTAGCACTTATTAATTTTTCTTGTTAGATAAGGATGGTCTGATTCAAACTTTAAATGCCTATCTGGAAAAATTTGGGAGGGAAACTTCTTTCATTTGAGTAATGTTTGCATCTTTGTGACAGGTCTGGTTCACGACCTCCAATCAATAAAGGAGGTGGAAGATACAGTAAAAAAAGGACCTACACTGAGGATGATGAGTTGGATCCTATGGACCCAAGCTCTTATTCTGATGCTCCACGTGGAGGCTGGTATGTTGACTACTTTTACTTTAGTGGATTTTTACCCTATTTCTTTTTGTTTGTGGTTGTGAGGTGAACAATGAAGAAGAAATTAGGCATTTTGGCCATCTTTTACCTATTTCCACGGACTATGCATATAATTTGGCATGCTTGTTCATGAATTTAGGAAAGTGTGGTACCTTTTTCTCTTTTTTTTTTTTTTTTTTTTTTGAAAAGTAAAGTAATTGTTCTTTGCATGTTTACAGGGTTGTAGGCCTCAAAGGGGTACAGCCACGGGCAGCAGATACTACAGCGACGGTATGGTCACTTTACCTTTTTTTGCGCATGTAATCATGTTTACCTCTCTCCTTTAGTTTTCTGCTGAAATATAATCTTATAAACATGTGCCTTTTGTTTATCAAATACAGAGTTTCAAGTAGTGAAAAAGCACCAATTAACATTGCTTTGGGCCTTTGGTAACTTGAACACTATCTACTTAGCTGAGCTAACTTACTTTCTAGCCTTTGTCAAGTTGTCTCTGATTGATTCATATTTCAGATTTGTTTACTAGAAACTAGAAAGCATGTAATCTTTTGTTCCTTTAATTGTGGACAGTCACATTTCCCAAAGAAAGTAATACGTGTTTTAAGCTTTTATAAGTTGGGATGAGAAACTGAGGAATGAGGATTCTCAGGATTGTGTTAAAAGAGTTGATAGTAGAATCTTTAATTCTATATCTTTGTAACTAGTGGACTGTGTTCTACTTTGTATAATAAAGGGTGAAGGTGTCTTGAGCTTGACAAATATGTAAGAGGTACACTACTAACTGCATACCATTCTACTAAGTTTGTTCTGTATACCAGGGATAGTCATTGTATTATAGGCTACACTACTAAGGAAACTCCCAATGAAATTATTCTGTATTTATGATTGTTCCCCACCCCCCATCTCCCTGGGTTGTTTTGTAGTTGCATATTATATGACCACTCCATCCTTTATCAAAGTATACATTATTGGCAATTGGCACGAAGTTCGAAAGGAGGTGAAAAAGTAGGTGGATGGATTGGGGCATTTGGACCTCTGTTTAATAAATTTTCAAAGATTTCATGTTCATCATATGATTCATTGGTCTTGTATGTTTCCAGGGCCCTCTTTTCCAGCAGCGTCCATACCCATCTCCAGGAGCAGTATTGCGGAAAAATGCTGAAGTTGCTTCAATAAAGAAGAAACCGGGATCTAATTACACACCGATATCTAAGAGAGGCGATGGAAGTGACGGACTGGGTGATGCTGACTAAGTCTCAAGAGTGATGGAAGTGACGCACTGTGGTGGCAAATGGTTAATACCTGCCAGGTTGTGTCCAAGAATTAGAGTCCAAAATTGAAGAGCCTAGTCACTGCATTTGTAACTTTATTTTGTGCTTTTTGAGCTTAAAAGCATTAGTATCAATGTCAAATATCTATGTTAGTAATGTTACATAGCTAGATACCTAGATTACAATTAATCTCATTCAACAGAAGGATCAAAAAAACTTTTGCAGTTGCAAGAGAAGGCGATATGTAATCCTCATATCGTATTTTTGACTTGTGAACTTTAGTGTAAGATTATTTTTATTCAGGGAAACATTACATGATTCAAAAACAAAAAGGCATATCAGCAAACATTTTACAGTGATTTGTATTAAGAAATATATGTTTAAAAAAATAGGGGCTTTACGAAAGATGTTTCTCTATATCTTTCGTGAATTTCATAATATAAGGAATAGACTCATATATCTCTAACTTTTTTTTTTTTTTTTTTTTTTGGTGTTTAGAGAGCCACATGGGCGGGGTGAGAATCGATTCCGGATCTCCCTGAACCGGGAGGGAAGCTCTAACCACTCGAGCTATTCCTCACTCATAGACCTCTAACTTTGAATGCACCATTTCATTGTTGAAGTTTAATTAATTATCTAGTATTTAATCTATTTATGTTACCTTTTAAGATGAATTGTATGTAGTTCTTAATGGTCAATAGATAACAAACCTCCCTATTAGAGTATTCTCAACAATGAGGAAATAATGTTTTCCTCATTCTCTCTCTATCCACTTTCTCTCTCTAAAATCCTCATTTTCCTCGCGAGGAAATTTTATCCCACCAATGATAAAAAAAAAAAAAAAATCCTCACTACTCTCTCTCTTACTTTTTTCAATACCCCACTTATATTTTCTCTCTCCTACAAATCACCATATTTTATTAACTTATGTTTTCATTACAATTTATACTTTTATAAAATAATGATTATGAAACAACTAAATCTAATTATTACTAATTTGTTATCAAAAAAAAAAATTATAATTAATTAATTATTTGACAGTAATTATTAGTTTAATTAAGAATTTACACGACTGATATTAGTTTAATTATTTGACATTAATTATTAGTTTAATTATTTGACAGTAATTATTAGTTTAATTAATTATTTGACAGTAATTTTTGCTGATAGCACCTTCAAAACGACGAGTTTTGAGGTGTTGTAATTAACAATGACGCACAAAACACGTCGTTTAGAAGTGCAGTAAGATAAAAAAAAATGAGTAGCAAGTGGTGGTGGGGCCCACTGTTCATCCATTTATTTCCTCACGCCATGAGGAAATTTGGTTTTCCTCATTGATGAGATGTTCATGAGGAAATTTTTCCTCATCAATTTTCCTCATGAGGAAAATATTTTCCTCATCAATTTTCCTCATGAGGAAAATATTTTCCTCATTGTTGACAATGGTCTTACACAATGCTCTGATGGAACATTGTGTACAGCTGAGCTTCTTCCTATACAATTCTCAAAATTTTAAAACAATGAATTTGATTTTTTATTTTCGAATTAACCGGTGAATATTAGTACAAACATAATCTGTATGACATGATCAGTAGTACAAAACATACAATTACTAGATATCTCTACTCACAAGAAGTCCATGAAGCTTCTCTTATAAAAATAACACAATTTTTAACATTGTGGATAGTCTTTACCTTATAAAATCAGGCTTCCTATCCGCAAAGCTTCGAGCCAATGCCTCAATATTTTTTTTTTCAAGTTTCTACAATCTGGTTCACCTGTCTAGTCACTAAACTGAATTTTGTAGGTATATATGTGAAATCGACAAATTGTTAATAACAAACATGAAGAACCATAATGCATGATCCACTTCGAAGCAAGGTCTAAAATCCAACTGCACTTTAAAGCTTATACTCTTAAAAGTCGAGGTTTTGAGGCAGAACTTCATCCTTTTTAAAGACAGTTTGTAGCTCAGCAGCATATATCAAAGGAATATGAATACAATCATAGAGTTGCTCATTCGCCTCAACCACTAAGATATATGTTTTTCAAGTACCTCACACTCGATTTTTTGAAATGAAACTAGCATTTCACCTAGATGATATCCAACACTATAAGATTGCTGAAATAAGCTCCCTAAAATAGAAGTTCCTCCTACAGGACTCGGTAACACTGCCAAGCAAAACATACCATCTTCTACCTGCAAGAACAAACTGTCAACGTCCAAGAGCACGTTCACCTCTCTTTCGAAATGAAATATCAGTCCATGAAAATTTCTTATGTCGCTTAATTTACCATTATAACATCGTTCATATGGAGGATCAGGCCATATTATCATGACTAATCCAAGTTCTTTCTCTAATTCCCCCACCAGCTCGTAGTATGCATATGGTGCTAGGAATGTCAATGTAGTCTCAGCGTCGATGATCACTCCACCACCTAAAGGACTTGGCTGAAAAATCTCTGGTGGAATCAACAGCTTCCGTTTACCTATACTTAGACTCTCGAGCACTAGATTGTACTTCCCTTCAATCACCTTTAAAGTGGTTGTTTGGCCTTCTAGGAAGAAGCCGTTTCCTAATACTAAAAGGTGCTCTGCTTCAGGATCACTGATGTTCCCTAAACAATAGGTGAACTTAGGCTCGGTTATTGAACTCATTTGCTTTATTAAGGATAAGTTGTGATATCCAAGACCAAGAATTCCATTGTATTGAGTGGAAGTGCTTTCTTGGTCATATTCACAGCCATAGATGACATTTTCGAGGGAAAAGACTTCAGCATTTGAAGTCTCGAATGCAAAGACATCACTTCCAAGAAGACTATTGGAGCGATAACTAAATGTACACGAGTTGGAAGAATCACAAGCATTATTAGGTACAAGAGCACAATTGGAAGAAGTACAAGTAATGTTGTGATAAGTTGTGGAGATTATTTGATTGGTATCGCAGCTAATGCAAGGCTGCAGGCACTGAGTTAAAACTAGCGTGCTTGCAGTGTCCATAGAAGCAAACATCTGAAACGGAGGGGTTCCAACGGAGAGCTTAACAAAGTACTCACCATCATCTGCTTGAACATTTCCTTGGAAATCACCTCCATCAACAACTCTATCAATCAAGAAAGAAAGGCGGGCTTTTGACCTCACAAAGGAAGATCTAACGCGATCATAAGGGCTCTCTTGGGGATTGTATAGAGGCGAGAGGGAGGAATCACGGTGGATGAGGCTCAAGTGGATGCTTCCTTGTGATGGTTGAGATGAAGTCAGTGCAAAAACAGAAGATACAATGACAAGTATTGCCTGTGTTGTTAGGTAAGTTTGTTTGGACATTGTTGTCAGAAGATTTTGATGTGTACTGTCAAGAAAACCGTAAATTTCAGCTGTCTTATATACTTGCATATTTAAGCTAATTAGTACATGAAAGTTTCGTTGTCTACCAGAATGAACAAGTCGGATTATTTTGTTCTTTACAGATTTACGGTTAAAATGATTAGTAGTAGGACTGTAGGAGAAAAGTAGATACAACAACCCTCCCCTCTCATCATTCTGCTCATAGATAAATTAGAAAAAAGTATTGGGTGTTCCAGCGTCACCAAGTTGTTTGGGCATGATCAATTAGAAACTAAACACATATCTCCAATGGTAACGAGTTATTATTGGTCGAGATCATGGTTAACATGATGGTTCTGGATTATGCAATAATTTGTTAAAGGGCTCGCTCTTTGGATACCCTGTTAACTTGTCAAGGACCGAAATAAGCTCAAGGTTTAGAGTTACGGATAATATTGAAGAGACCACCCACATACCTACAATTCAAAATATGGAGCATATATGTTTGATTAAAACAACTTTAATTTTTAGTTAATATTGTCATATACTCCATACTTTACAACAAATTTCACTCTTAATACATGTATTAATTATGGAGTAAAATTGTCTCGAAAGGTATTAAACATGAAAATTAGGAAAATGTTGATTTGAAGTGTATTTTGTAGGAAAATTGACATAATAGCAACGATTATTGAAGTACTTTCCTCGATGTTACCCATCCAGTAGGCTGTAGCCTGTAGGCCACAAAAACTCCAGAGAAGACACAAATAAACCACATTCATGGTAGTATTATGGAAAATTAGAAATCACCCTGTAATTAATGATAATTTTAGCACGTATTCAAGATATAATCTGCCAAAGGAACACCATTTGAATAATCACAAACTAATGATTAAATAGTTTTCATGCATGGAAAAAGAGGCTATGAATCAGAGCAGTATCGGGTTATATCAGCATCACAATCGGTAACAGAACCAGTTTATTTTTTTGCTACTGTCTCTGCCAAATTCTTCTGAGACTTGGAGTCTTAACTGAATCGCCTGTTCTGGATGTTCATAACAGGTCGAATGAACAAGTACATGTAGTCATGGTGTGTGAGCATTTAACGTAAAAAGCTTGGTCGTCTTCAGTATATTTCATTCAAGTTGTATTCACAAATGGTGTGCTCAGAGGACCACTAATTTAGCATTTCAGCTGAAAATATTTACTCTGCAAAAGTGTTCCAGAATGTAGTGATGAAAAATTTTAGTAGCATTCGTATTGGAATAATTTACTTTTCTGATTTATGAACAAACATAGAAAACCTCTTTTTTTTTTTTTTTTTTTTTAATAGAATAGAGCACAGAAAACTTTGATGTTTCCAGAACATATAATTTTCTCATTATTTTTTTCAAAGAATGCATTACAGTTGTGAATTTTATTGTACAAAGTTTCAATTGAAGTGGAGTATAATCAGTTTTCATGAATCTACAACACTATGCGCCTCTAAGTGACCAAGACGCAGACTTGGACTAGTAAGTGAGGACTTATTAAGAAATACAAAGGAAAAAGCCGATAAATACCGTATTAAGAATACAAACCATTGAAGTGAAGTTAAAGATTGACAACATTGATCAATAAAGGGAAACTACTAAACTAATGAACATACATTGAGGATGAACGATCAGGACTGCAAAAACGTAGAACTGATAATTGGCAGCATTAGGGATAGTGAATGGAATGTAGGACACATCGTCACATCTCTAACTCTCTAAGCATAAATTGCACCTTATCAGACTAACCACAAAACACGGTGCCCATCCACATCAGAGTATCAGACTTGCAGTGCTCCTCGGATAGCAATCTTACATGATTAGCTTAAACGGAGAAAATGAAACTACCAAATTGCTAACTTCCTCCTGCAATTAATCAACATCCTCAAAGTTGGAGCAAACACAATACGTAGCAACCCCATACAGCCCATATATGTAAGATTAGTTTAATCAGATAGCAATTTGTTAATAATCCAACCCAATAAATGACATAAACCAAACATATGGAGTCAAAACTAGAAATTTCTTCAGATCCAACTCTCATTTATCCCTCACCACCTAATTATATACAAAATACATCACAGATCCTCAGTGATCAGAAGGACTGGAGCATGAGAGGAGATTCAGACTGAATTATAGAGACTACATAGATTTACTTGCACTAAATGTTTACATTTACCTGGAAAAAGGATCGTAGTTATACCAAAACACTACAAAGGAGTCCTAGTCAGTACATTTTTCATCAAAATGTTAACTTGTTTCGCCACTAAGTGAGACAGCCACTAATTACCTACCACCCACCTGCTCCACCATCAGACCGCCCCTTAGAGTTGCTCTTAGAACCCGAACCCCATCCAGAGTCATTGCCAGCATCGCCACCAGTTCCGCCCCAGCCACTACTTCCGCCTCCACCACCACCTCCACTGCCATTGTCACCCCAACCCCCACCACTACTACCAGCACCACCACTTGAACCCCAGCCACCAGGAAATGCTTCCTCACCTGGAGCATTTTGGACTTTAGCACCAGGAAAGCTTCCCCAACTACCATTGTTCCCTTCTTTATTGTCAGAACCCCACTTGGAACCATGCCCACTGTCTTTGTTTTCTGAACTCCACTTGCCATAGCTGGAATCACCGCCATCTCTGCTGCCACCATCTCTGTTGCCATGATATGAGCCTCGACCACCACGCCCTCGTCCACGTCCACGGCCCCCTCCTTCATATGGCCTTGGAGCTCCACTAGGATGCCCATCACGGCCACCATTTCTATCATTCCGTCCTACAAAACCAAATGTTTAAGTATCAAGCATGAGGTGAGACATTCACTCATAACACGAAGCAAATACAACAGATCAATCTAATCTTCCAAAATCTTAAGTTCATAGTTTTATGTTTCAATAATCATCAAAACAAGGGTGTAGGCCTCAGACAATGAAGCTAACCAGCAAGAATAATACAGAACATTATATGAAGTCTAGTACAGAAACAGAGTAAGGGATAGTAATTAACGAAAACCTCCCCAAGATATATATGTTATAAGAAAAATAGATTGGCAAACAAAACTAGCAAATATCCTTCCTTTATGAACATCTTTGACATGATCCTAGATTAATCTATACACATTCCTCTTTCTAAATATCCCAAATTTGTCACCGGAAAAAAAAAAAAAAAAAAAAAAAAAAAAAAAAAAAAAACAAATCAACCAATGAACTCTTTATAGTAATCTTTCCCTTTCTATTTTTTCTCCAACATTGGGCCCCACAACCACCCACTATTTCCTCTCAACTTTATTGCTCTCTATTATCAAATAGCAGATCCCCAATGTGCATACATTGATATGGGTCATTAGGACAAAGGGAGCTCAGGGAAAATTCAAGTTAATAAGGCTGATATACAAACTTTGTACATCAGCCTTCTAAAATAGGGGGAAACCGCTACTTGAAATAGCAGTTTAGGGTAAAACCACTACTAGAAGTAGCGGTTTTCACCTGTTTTTGAAGGCTGATTAACTGGGGCTCCCTCCTAGAAGTTGTACAGCTTTAGCAGACAGAGATTTGTCATTACTAAATGGCATGAACTCTAGAGACAATTTATACAGTCAAGGCTGTTCAAAATATACACATCCATTTGGATCGAAAGAATTGCGGAAGAACACAAACTAATATATGAATAACACTAGACTCTTGAAATACATACTGGCCCTTTGCTATCCTTTATCCAGACAACAGAAGAGACAGGACCCAGGTCAAAGTCAAAGTGACTCGATCAAAGTGAGCAAAGTTACCTGTCCTAGAATGTTCTCGGTCAGAAGAACCCCGCCACCCACCATCATTGCTACCTGAACCACCCCATCCACCTCCTCCAGAAGAACCACCATTTGCTGGACTACGCATTGGTACCATAGCAGCAACTGATCGAATCGACGGAGACTCGTGAATGGGATCGTCAATGTGCCTCTGGAAATAAGCTACGAGTCTGTCGATATTATCAAACATCCTTTTGCGGAATTTGAACCCTTTTGGATATAGACCAATATACTCGTGATGGGGATTTGAACTGCGAATGTATGTGAGGATAAATGTGCCAGGGTGCTCATGTGAAATGCCAAAACTATAAACAATTCTTGATGGGAACTCTGATTTCTCAATTCGAAGGAGCTCGTCAACTTCTGCTTTTGTCCCCTTCCGGAACTTTCGATAGTTAAGCATCGCCTTCAGATGAGTAACCAGTGGATCAACATAACGGTCCATGACCTGCAATATAGACAGCAAACAGGAAATGGTCACGCTTGATATTAAGTGAGGTCAAGTGCTTTTTATCCTAGGTGAGGTGCTTTCAAAGAAAAACACAGCCTTCTGTTTTACAGTTTTTTCTGATATTTATTAGGTGTACCTCATTTGATTAAGGCACATTCAAGGCGCTACAAACATGACCCCTATCACCTTAGTTAGCTTAATCCTTTTTCATACATTAGTTTGAGGCCTTTGAGAATTGTAAAAGCCAATTTAAGTAAGTTACAATTCTAGAACCCACAGGATCACCAACACTGTAAGCTAAGCAACGAACCAGAAAGCCTATTGTATGAATGAGAGTAGCCCAGAGAATAGACATGTATGGATATTGGGCATTATAACCTATACCAGAATAATTTATTTTTTCTAAAAAAAAAATCAATTAATCGTCTTGATTCAGAACAACATTAAGCTATCAATAATATTGCTGTATATTAATACCAGTGAAAATTGGCAGAAACTCAAGCTATCTACCAAATGTTAACTAAAAGCAAGTGCATGCATGATATGCACAGAATCATAATGCGTAGAAAATAAAAGAATGAAAAGGTGAATGGAATACTTACCTCATCCAGGTCCTCAAAAGTGTCCTCTCCAATTTTAAGTGTTTTCCCAATACGAAGCAAACTTGATATACCTTTGTGGTCCTTTCCACCTTCAATTATATCCTTGTGGGCAAAAACACCATCATAAACCTTTAAGGTCAAGGTCAAATAAGATGGACCACGAGAACTTGGACGAATGACACTTTCACCAGGATCCTTGTCTGCTAAAAGCTATACAACACAAATAAGGGAAGGTGGGTGAGCAAAAGGAATAAAGAATAGGGAATAGAATCACCTCCAGAACCTGATGATGCAAAACATAAGAAAACAATAAGATGCAGACATCAACTTCAAAAAAGTCTTATAAAGGGGCCTGCCTTGGGAAAATATTTAGCGCGTAATATTAAGCTTCAGAAGCCTTTAAAGGCTTAGAGAATGTTGAAAATATTAAGCTTCAGAAGCCTTTGAAGGCTTAGAGAACATTGAAAATTGTCCACCCCTTAAAAAAAAATTAAATAAACTCCAACGTCCAATAGATTCTTAGAAAGAAGAGACAGCAAGCATCTGAACACATACCTCCATTGCATCATCAGCTGTTATATTCTGAAATCGAGGATGAACAATCATCCTCGACTTGAAATGCTTTTTCGCAAGTTCCTTATCCCTACGAGCCTTGTCTTTCTCAGTCGGTAAACTGCTACGGTCTTCATGATAGTAAGGGTCCAAGCTCTCCACATTCTGAGGCCCGGTATTCCTCATGTCATTATCTTTACAAGTGAGGACCACCTGGTATCTATTTTTCAGGATAGATTTGATCTTACATGTGAGAATTTCACCTTCATGCAACTTCTCAGTCAAATCACAATCCCTCCAATCATCTGAAAAATCTTCCCTTGTAAGCATACCAGATAATCCAGAGTCCAAGACACACATTGCTCTTTGAGGTTGGACCCTGCGAACAGTAGCTTGAACAATTCGTCCTTCACCCAAGGTAGAATCAGTCTCCCCAGAAATCATATTAAACTCTTCATCTTGACTAGGTTCTTCATACGGTTTACGCCAATCTTGAAAGCCTTGAATTAACTCCAGTTTTATGGCATGCAAGGTCTCTACCTTAGATAAACGGTCTGTATCCTTTGCATAAGCTTCAACATTAAAAGATTTTAATGCACTTGGCCTATCTCTTAGATTTTCAATTGCCATCTCAATATCATCATCATCCAAATTATCATCCCCGACAATTTCTCTATAAATATCTTTTGCCATTTCCTGTGCTAGAGCATAGGACTCTGGATGTATTCTTGTATCATCCAGGACGTCTACAAACTGGCTGGTGCTAACAGCTAAACCACTACGCCTAATACGCAAAAAACCAGAAGCACTGATAAATACTTTTTTGCCAAGTCCATGTGCAGTCAACAAATCTTTCCTTGTAACTATTGCCCCAGCTCTGCCAAGTGATCTTTGCAAGGATGCTGCTTTCCTGGGACCAAGACCAGAAATAAACTGCAATGGAGCAATTAACCAATCATGATTTGCAGCCAGATTGAGATCAAGCCCCACCTGATTAGTGACATCAACCATAACCTGTTCCACCATACCATACTTCTCATCATCATTAAGAAAGCTCTCTAAAGCACTGATTTTCCAAGACAAAATTTCCCTGCCTGGCCCACAAAGATTAGCAACCATGGCTAATGGATTTTGAAGGTACCGTCCGAGCGCAACACCACGTCTCACAATGCCTGAAAATAAGCAACCATATAAATATCAAACTAATTGAGAATAACAAGAACTATAATAAGGTAGCAGAAACCTGGTCTAATTTACCTGGATGTCCAGGGATCTGATCAGATGATATATGAGAATTTTCATACAGACGAGGCAAAGATTCATCCCCATAGAAAACACTCAGCCCATCCATTTCATGACCCACATCTCTAGGATTTTCTTCGACCATCTTGAACACAATCTGAAAGGAATATAAAATAATATATGAAGACAGCACAACTTCCTCCAAACAATAGAAAGCCTAAAAACAATCCGCATTTCATTGACGACAGCAATTTGAACCCCAAAAAAAAAAAAAAACTAAATTTGCTATAACAAGAGAAAAATCATGCAAAGGAATTCACAAAAACTTTAGTCTTTGTTTGCAAGTGTAGTTACTCAGTTTCATTATTCTTTTTCCTAACAAGGGTAACAACAGAAAAATGATCTTTTCACGAGGTGGGGATATGAGTGAGAATCAGAGCATTTTCTGATGTGCAATTTCTCAAATTTTGAGATGAGAACACCATCCTGATTATGGACACAAATGTGGGCAAATGACTTAAATAAAAATAAGTTTATGGGATTAAGGCTTTGATTGATAATTTTAATAGCAACAGTATTCTGTTTTTGTGTTTTCGTTTATGAACATGCGGGGCATCAATCATCTGCAGTGCCCAGCTTCTATTCCCGACCACAAAATAAGAGTTACTGCTTCATAGAGTATTATGTTAGGCTCAGCACAAAGCTCAAATTAAAAGCACGTATGACTGCCACATACAAGTCATAGCTTTGTAATCAAGTGTAAAAAAAAGAGTCAAAAGCAAAAGGAGGAGAGAAACTATGCACCACCAACCACACAAACAGAAGAGAGAGCCACGAGGACATGCATCAGGAGCAAGCAATCAGAACTCCAGCCATCTTAACCCGCTTGATTCACCCCATCATACATTAGCCTCCAAAACCTCACTTCTTATTTTAGATGTATCTGCATTTGATAGAAGTAGGGAATTTCCTCCAAATCTAAATATTCATATCCTATTTTAGACCAATTATCATCCAAAACTCTCTTCCCTAACTTTCCGTTGGTAAAGGTGGCCAAAAAAGAACAGCCATGTTGAGCCTGTCTTCCTAGCCCAGAATGGCATGGGTATGTATCAACATCAGTACAGCAAAATATTATTTGTATGACAGCTAGGGTTTTCCATTTTTCATTAAGACATCACCATAAAATTGATCAACTACCAATAGGGTTTCTTACTCCTTGAAAAATTGGAGAGAAAATTCATAGCTAATCCCTCACAACTTTCCTTCTCCAGTTTTTGTTCAGAACATGCAAAGCTAATAAAAAAATTAATTGTAGACATACACAACCCCTCATTGGTGGGCTTCCAACAGATAAGGACTTAATTTTGACACAACTTCATTGGAAATCTGAGAAATTATGGAAGTTTAAACCTTGACTAAATGTAATAGAGGGAACATTTAAGAATGTGAAATAGATGAAATGATGAAAAATAAAGTGGATTCAAAGGTTGAATTTGATGACGATGTTCAATGAATAGCTGGATTACAATTGTGAATTAGTAAGGATGTGGATGCAAAGGTTGAATTTGGTGATGATGTTCAATGCATAGCTGAATTACAATGGTAAATTAGTGGATGCAAAGGTCAAATTTGATGATTACGTTCAATGAATAGCTGGATTACAATGGTGACTTAGTAACGGAAGGGGGGAAGGGATGGCTCAACTCTAGCACTCTAACATTGGAAAATAATGACAATGAGTAATGAGGGGTAGTGATTGGAGTGGTCTGTCAGGACCTGCAGGGCAGAGAGGGTAGCTGAGCAGGTTCGGGAGGAGAGAGGGTAAGGAAAAAAAATTTGCCTAATAACATGCTTCTGTTCACACAGGATCATTAGTGGAAACATCACTCGTAATTTAGTTTATTCTAGAATAACATACTGTTAGGATTACATGGGAAGGCCCACCATGATTGATAGTAATTTAGTGAATTGTGTATTCTATAAACTGGAACTACTTACTCTGAATTTTAAAATAAGCTCATTATACTGCTTTTAGCTTAAAACTCTTGAAATCTTAAAATTTGACCTGCAAGTGATACATTGCAATCTCTGGAATAAAAATTAGGAATTTCCATAGAAATATCAGTTGCAATGATTAACGATTTGAACTTATCTGTTCATATGGGAGGAAGCCAAGGTGGTTGACAGGCTGACCCACTAACATTCACAATACTCCCTCTGAATGTTTGACTCACATTTGCCATGAACTTTGACGTTATTATATATCAAAAACAAATCTAACAAGATCTCACATGACTATATATCTATATATTTCCTTACTAATCACAAAAGACAGACGAAGGGGTGTGTGTGGAATAAGTGTCAAGAACAGTGAGTAAACTAAAATAATTGAGGTAGTAAAATGAGAGCTTATAATGTATCTGTATACCAGCAGTGACATTGTTCCTCCTCCAAGAATAAAGCAAAACTACGTAGTACATAATATACTCTCCCTCTATTTTAAACAAATTCTAGCAAATACTCCTTCCATACACAAGTAAAAGTCTAATTTGCCTTCTGAACACATGTTTAGGGTGGTAGGGTGGTAAATAAATAAATACGAGAGTGGGGTTCTGATTCAATAAAAGTGAATAAAAAAAGAAGATAGTGGGGTTTGATCCAATAAATATAAAATAAAAAAGAGAGAAGATAGTGGAGTTTGGTTCAATAAAAGAGAAAAAAAAAAATAGGGTTTGTTTGGCATCGTTATTTGTTTTCAATTTCCTTTTTTTAAAACCAATAAGTAGGAAACAAGAAAAAAGTGTTTCCACTTATCTGTTGTGAGTTTTAAAAAGTATCATGATTTTAATAAGTTTGACTAATTTTTGATTCATTATATGACATATATCATATGATTTTGAAAACAAAAAAAATAAAAATAAAAAACCACAACGATACCAAACGGACCCTAAAATAGTGGGGTTTGGTTGATTAAAGGTGGAATAATCACAATAGATAAAGGTGAAATGGAACTTTAATTTAGGGACAAGACTTTTCCGTGAAATGATACTTTTATTTGAAGATGAAGAGAGTATTCTCAATTCTCTCTCCTTATTAGTTCCAAAATAAACTCCGGATACAATTTCCTAGTTGAACCTTCATTCACTACATTGATGATCTTCTTTACCCTAGCCCATATGCAAATTACTAAAATCACAAATGAAAAAGAAGTGGAAAGAGTATAAGAGATGCATGAAGAATTGAAGACTATCAATTCACAAAGCTTCAAACTCCAGCAACCCCATAGTACCAGCCCAATTTACAATTAGCGAACAATTACAAAGTGGGATCAATATTTCACCAAAATAACACAAAGTGGAAACAATTAAACAATCAAAAGCAGCTGCAAGATTCATATCTAGGGACTACAGTTCAGAAAAAAAAAATATCAGTAAATCAGAACAAATACCTCATAAATATCATCCTTTAGCCGGGTGCAAGACAAACTCACAGCCCCCAAGACTACAACCTGAGGTTGATGTTCAGTCATGAATCTTAAAAGACTCTGCTGGTCGTGCTTTTTACGCTGCTGGTCATTAACGTTTTGTGACCTCAAGCTGATTGACCCGGCCTTTAGAACATCAACAATCTCACCAAGTGAATCCAACATAACGAAAGTGGTTGGTGAATTTCCAAAACCCCAACAGCAAGCCATGACCCTCGGTGCTGCCTCCTCATCTGAGCTAATATCACTTTCCTTACGCTGGTATGGAGCCACAGAAACTTTATCCCAAAGACATTTTCCATAATCCATAAGCAACCAACTCTTAGCCCTGCTAGTCAACAACAATCTAGCTTCCTTCTCTAAGGCTGGTAAGATGAAATTATGTATAGCATCCTGTAAGATCAGTCTTCTCTGCTCATTCCAAAGCTGTGCTAGCTTGCTCACAGCCAAACTAGTATACAGAAGCTCCAAATCAGCAATCAGTTTCTTAAGCTTTTCCTCTGGCCATTTGATTGTGACCTGGAGGAGTTTTTCCTCTTCAGCCTTCTGGATAAGAAGCCACTGCGCATCTTCAAATTTGTTCAATGGTTTGTTGCGTAACCACTTAATGCCTGCAAACTGATGGAAAGCATCTATGACAACATTCCCATCAGGTGTAGGAGTTGTTGAAACCACCGCATTGTCGAAATAATTACTACGAAAATGCTTTTTCACAGAGGGCTCACAACTTATCTCAATTGCAGCCTGCATATAGCCACAATGCATTTAAAAACAAGGTACAACTATAATCCAGGCAAAATATAATCCAAAAGACTCATACACATACCATGTGCCTAGCACCTTTAAGCACTTCTTGAGGTGAATTAAACATTGCACAGGTAAAATTAGATGCAACTTCCTCCGGTGTCTCCTTTGGATCCTCTGGTTCATCCACTCCCTACAGCAAGTTCAAGAAAGCAGGTTAAATTGAAAGAAAGCACACTGAAGAGTCAAAGGAGTAAAAAAAAAAAATCCTTACATCCAAAGAGATCTGTGCACCAAACTGCTCAGAACTATGGCCAAATTTGCTAGCAACCTCCCATAAACCAGCTTTGTTGCATATGCTATAAAGTGACTTCCGCTTGGGCCTTCTATATTGCCCTTCATCCACCCCAGCCTCACCAGGAGGGAAATGCAAGTTAAATTTTGAATCAACATCATCAACTTCCCTTTCAGATTCTGCAACTCTCAGCGCCCCAATAATTGATTCAAAAAGTTGTTGATTCAAACGTAATCTGGTCTCATCGTATATTCTACGTGATTCTTCCTCAAACCTTTTATTATAGTATCCCAGGAGAGCACTCTTTCGCTTTTGAAGAAGCAACCATTTTCTATCCAAATCCTGGACAGCCCAAAGCACCTGCATAGACACATCATATCTAATCTCAAAACTAAACCTAGCAGGTAAGCAGATCACGACCAACAATTAAACAGCAGTCTAAACCATGAAGTCACCATAAGAAAAACTTGAGACCTCATAAATTTATATAATTCAAGTATGTTACTTTAAAAAAGGTTAATAATTGACTGCTGACCTAAATTTAATTTAAAAGTGGGAATTTTCTAACAATTTAACCTCCTCAAATGTCTGCAGTACTGATTCTAAGGTTATCCTGCTGAAAGACTTTATTCCAGCTTCTTGAAAAATCACCAGCCTCACTTGCCAGAGATAAATTTTTTTAAAAAAAATTCAAATCTTAATCAGAGATCCTACATATTCTTTGGGATTGGTAGAGTTTTATATTACTCCGTATAAAGATTGAGACCACTCTGTAAACTATAACTTCAAGCATCTACTTGCTAATTAAATTTCAAGTATTATTATAAATTTCAAGTGTGATTACCTTGTGCCATTTTAAAGCAGGCTTATCATGATTGACATCTTCACCCGTCTCTGGATCTTTCAACAGACTGGCAATGTCCTCTTTGCGGTACATAGCAATATAAGGGAGCTGGAAATGATAGAAGAAAACTAATGAGCCAAAATAAGACAAGATCTGACAGCAGCAGGCAGACAAAGCCAAAACTCACATCAAGTTTCTGAATATGTGTGAAGTTCAAAAAATTTTGAATATGATACTCCGTTTCTTCTCCAAATGATATGTTCACAAGGCCAGGAAATTGACCAGACCCTAGATGTTTTTTTATCCACTTGGCCTCTTCTACAATGGACTCAGCATCCGTGGAAGGTGGACCAGTGCTCTCCTCAGATATCTGTCAGCAAAAAAGTCGAGAAATCACGTTTACCCTAGACCATAACTTCAGTAAATTTGACTAGAGATGCAGCAAATAATTGTTAAGAGATTGAGTATTTGGGCACAGAAAATTACCTGCATTCTTTCTGGTATGTCAATCTCCCGGATACGATCATCCTTGTCAGTCATATACCGTTCAGCAAGAATGATAGGTTCAAATTCATGCTCCAGCCTTCTCTCATTCCATTCACCACTTTCATCATATCTGTCTCTTTCAAGTGTTTTTCGACGCATATCCAGAAGTTCTTCAACGTCTCCAAAAATATCTTGGGCTTCCTGTAGCGAGGATGACGGAACTCCTCCAGCTTGCCTATGCTTCTTTTTTTTGTTCTTATTAACCCGTCTACATTTAGTATAAGCCAATAGAAAAACCATCAAGGGACATTATTAGTGTTGAACAGAACCTAAAGGAAGACATAAGATCCGTACCTAACAGGCACCCCATCAGCATCCATATCATCTTCAGACACAATAAAATCAGCCATGTCATCCTCATCAGCCAAGTCTACATCATCTGCTTCTAGCTGATCATCCTCTTCTGGGACATCCTCAGCTGGCCCTCCTGTGACAACACAAAAGCACGAAATGAGAAAAAATATAATAATAAATCAAAATGCATGTATAACCTGTAAAGGAGCAAAGATTATTCACCATCATCGTCGCCAAATAAAGTGTGTTTGACATGGTCCTCGGCCATCCTTCCACCTCTCCCAGATCCATAGAAATCATCCTCATCGGAAAGTCCAGAATGCCCAGCATCAGTATCACGCCGAGCCTTCTTCAACCTCTTAAACTTTTTGCTATCCTGTAAAAGGCAAGCAAATGCCAGAAATTTTAAACAGGGAAACCAACCGAAAATCAAATGCATTAATCTACCAGCTATAAAACCATAAGCCATTAACAGCAAATAACACTCACAGCTTTACGAGCAACTTTAACATTGTTGTCCAAGAGAAGCTCATAGTCGTCGTCATCAAGTTCAAAGGACTCCCTACAATAAATCAAAACAATGTCAAAGAAAAATTCCATTTTTCCTTTAAATGTTTTTTTTCTTTTGGGGAAGATGACCTACCTCTTCTTTTTTTTCTTCTTTTTATGTCTTTCCTCTTCATCTTCTTCAGGTTCCTCTTCTTCATCATCACCCTCGACAATAAAACCATCGTCCTCAAACTCATCTTGTCCTTCTTCTGTAAGAAAAATCAGCTCATTTACATCTACATTAATGTGTAGCAACAAGTATCCAATACAATCATAACCATTACAAAAACAGATCATCATTTACACTTTAAAATTTCATTTTGCAACCAAATATGACACTCAAATGATAAAAATTACCGAATTCCAATTATTTAAAGAAACCGCATTGCTGTTTCAGTTGTTTGCATGACATCAAAAAATGTTCATCAGTGTCTTTACCTTTCACTCAAATCAAAGGAGGACAGAAACTACAAAATTTTACAAATGTTCCCAAGATTATTGTTCCAAATTCCAGCAAAAAGCTCAAAAAAAACGACACCCAATCTCTAATAACCTTACTCATAGAAAGAAAACCCCAGAAAATGGAAACCCTAATTTCGTACCCAAAAAAACCCAGAAATTGCAAACTAAAGCGTAATCAGATGCAAAAACGACGAACTTGAAGATCATTCAGCACACAAAAAAAAAATCAAAAAAAATAGAAGAAACAAACCGTCATCTTCATCTTCATCATCGTCTACACCACCGCCACCTTCGCCATCATCGAGTTCTTCACCTTCTTCCTCTTGTTCTCTCTCATCATCCTGAACCTCGAGCTCTTCTGGGAAACAAAAATCGATTTCACCAAACAAAGAATTAGTACAATACCAAAAATTAGGGTTTCGAGTGGGAGTAAAAATGGCGAGTATTGAAAACACGATAGAATTCAAGGGTTTTACCTTCATCGTCTGATACTACAGCTCTTCCAGCCATTTTTTTCAGCGAGAGAGAATTAGGGCAAAAACCCTAGAAATTTGAGGGAAATCGAAGAATTTGGGAAAATTTGGAGACAAATTTGAGAGTTTTGGATTTATTTTTTTATTTTTTTCTTTGCTCAAGAGAAATGAAGCAGAGGTTATGGAGCAGCCAGGAGAGAGTGTGTATGTGAGCAGATGAAAATGATTTATACTATAAGGGTGGATTTAAAAAAAAAAAAAAAAAAGGAAAATTATGGGAATGATTTCACCTTTGGGCCGTTCGTTTTTAATAATCCCCCGTTCTTTTTTTAATGGTCCCAACCGGTTATTTAACTTGTTATAGCAAGTTACATGCCACGTGTCGCAGTCTAATTGACCTAAAATATAAAAAAAATTAAAAAATTATACTTAATTAATTAAGAAACTACTTGTTTCATAAAAAAAAAAAAAAAAAAAAAAATCTCACCAGCCCAACCACCCTCCACGGCTGCCAACCACCACCAGCCTTCCCTGTTGCCTGCCCACCGACGACGGAGGGCCACGCCGACTGCCACTAATGCTTCCCTTTCTCCACCACTGCCGCCACCGCACTCTCCCATGACCACCACGAATACCCTCTTCCTCCCCTTCCCAGCCCCGAAACCCTCCTCCCTCTCCTTGCGCAGCCACACCCAACCAGTCATCGACACTTTCCCCTCCCCTAGCTGCCTAACCCAAAAACCTTATCCCTTTTTCGGCCCCCTCCCCTCCCCTCGCCCCAATTTCGGCCCCTTTGCCCTTCCCAAGCCTCGATTTCGGCCCCCTCTCCTTCCCATCCTTAATTTCGGAAATGCATTTGATGGTTTAAGGCGACGAAAGGTGCCGGAATAAAGGTGGCGACCGGAGCGGGGCTAACAGCCAGTCTGGGACGACGGTCAGGGCGCGACGATGTTGGGGGCTGAGACGACAGTCAGGTCGCGGGGATGCTGGGGGCTAGGACGACGGTGGGGCAGGGAGGTGGCTAGTAATGGTTTTAATTTTTAGTTTTTTTTTCATGAGAAAATTATTAGAAATAAGTAAATTAATGTTAATTGCTAATTATCATTTCTTAAAACAAAATTAAAATTAAAACTTATTTTTTTGACCAATTACGTGGTGACACGTGTAAAATAAACTTAAAAAAAAATTACCTCTTCAACCGGTTACTGGTCACCCGGAACCATTAAAAATAATGGGGGTAAAGGTGGGATTATTAAAAAATAATCCAAAGGTGGGATTATTAAAAACGAACGGCGCAAAGGTAGGATTATTCCCATGAATTTTTCCAAAAGAAAATTATGAAAAAACACAAACTTTTATATGCGGTAATACCGTGTGGCCAGCTATTAGATGGTTACTCCCTCCGTATTTTATTACGAGTACTAGTTTCAAATCTTCATTGGCGGAGTAGGAGAAATAGTTCAAAGTAATAAAGTATGAATAAAGTTGAGTTTGTGAAAAAATAAAGTATGGTAGTTGGGAGAAGAGAGAATATGAAAATATTATATTATAATAGTTTGGGGCCCATTATGAGAGAAAAATTAGTAAAAGATTATAAAAGATTTTCAAAAAAACGAAATGAAGCAAGTAATAAAATACAGTCGTAAAAGGAAAGTAGAGCAAGTAATAAAATATGGAGGGAGGATTTCATCAGGCCGAGTTCAGTTCACCTTAAAAAAAATATTATTCAGTAAAAATAATTACAATTCACTAAAAATAAGTTCAATTCAATAAAAATAAGTTGATTTCAGTAAAAAAAAATAAAAAAATAACAATAACCTCAAAGAACAGATATAATAGAGAATCAATAAAGGTAAGTAAAAATAATTTAATTTAAATTCAGCAAAAATAATTACAATTTAGTAAAATAATTTCATTTCAGCAAAAATAAGGAGAAATGAATAGGGTCTTAGTGTTATAGGGGTCACTCGGTCAAATGGTCAATGTTATAGGGGTCTATGTTATTGGGGTTACTTGGTTAGTATAGGTTTTACTCAGTCGGTATTATAAAAGATATTTTGTTCTTTTACAAGCGCCAGCCGCACCTAAAGCGTGCTTATGAAAAAAATATGTAGTAAAAAAATTTGGCAATTATGTGGTATCTATATTTAATACGGAGTATTAAGAACATAATTATGTCATGTGGGAATGTAGTTGTTTGGATTCGTCTTGAGATGAATTTTTAAAAATACTTTTTTTTTTACTGTATAATTTTTAGGAAATTTTCACTTTTGGTACTACTAAAACACCCTTGTTTCACTTTTGCTACCTCTTAAAAATTTTATTTTATTTTGCTACCACCTAAAACCACATATGTTAAAATTACTACCAGTTGACGAAATCTGTTACTATTGCCGTTTGTGGGCCCCACTTCAACCCTGCCTCTCTCTCTCCTCCTTCCCCAGCCACCAATCCCCTTCCGATCCCCTGCCACTCCCCCTCCACCCCATAGCCACTTGGCCCGCATCTCTTCTTCCAACCACACCAGCCCAACCATCCCCCTTGGCGGATCCCCACCCCTTCCCCTCCCCTTTCCCCAACCAACGCAGCAGCCATGAACAAACACAGCAGCAGCAGCCATGAACAAACGCAGCAGCAGCCAGGAACATACTTTCAGCCACCAACGTTGACGCTTGAAAACTCCTAGCCACCGCAACCAGCCAACGCCCTTGAATGCCGCGCAACTAGGAACAAACGCCTTGCCACGGTGCCGCGACGAACAAGAAAACCGAGTCCAAAAATTTGAACAATTTCGAATCAAAATTAGGATTTTCTAGCGGTTTGATGTTCGATTTTAATCCCAAAACAAGATTTTGGTATCAATTTTCAATCTTATTGAATTAATATGATGATTTTCATTCAAAATCAAATTGGGGAAAAAGTTAGGGTTTTTAAAAATTTTAAATCAAACTCTTTGATTTCAAAACGAAAATAACAATTATTTACATGATTTTGCAATTGAAATCTAAAGAAAACAAAGCCCTCAATCAATTTCGATTTTTCGACACAACTTGTCGAATTAGAGGTCGAAATTTTTCGATTTTCCCCCTTGTTTGAATCGACCCCCCCTACAATCATACAATCATCATCATCGTCGTCCGTTTGGGGTGGGGTCGCCGGCGTTCGCCCAAGCGCCGGCCGCCGGCAGGGGGGAGGGTGGCTGACGGGAGGGGGGGCAGTTGAGGGTGGCTGGGGTTTTTTTTTTTTAAAAAAACATTTTAATTTTTTTTTTATTTTTGAATAAACTTAAATTTGAGCGGTAGCAAAAATTAATAATTTTTACTCAAATTTTTATATTGAATAGGTACATGAACAAATACTTGTGGGTGCATTAAAAACAATTAATATTAATGTCAAAGTGTAACCATATAAAAGAAATAAAGGGAGTAGTAAAATTAGTTAAAACTTGAAGCGAGTAATTGATTACTTAGAGTGATGTATATACTAACTCTGTTTCTCATTATGTGTAACAATTGAATTTTTTTATATCTCATAAAAAATACCCAATTGTTGCACATAATATATAACAGAGGTAGTACATTGAGATCAATCCGATAACACAATACTTCGCTATTACACATTTCTTATATATATATATATATATTTTAATTTTTTAATAAGAAAATGTGATCAAATTTAATGTGTGAACTATGTGTAACCCGGGCGATGCACCAGGTTGCTACTTTATTTAATCTTGTGATTATACGTATTTGATATTTATGGTGTCGTTTTTTCTTTTTCTTTTTTTTTTTAATTAGACCTTCTGATTTGCAATTATATACATTTATTTTCATGTTTATAACATTTTGATAATTGGCTTAGATGGTTAAATAATCACCTTTCTTATATGAGGTTGGGTGTTCAAATTTCCTTATCCTCATGTTTTTATATGGTGTAATGTTGGTTGATTGGATGACGTGGCATAACGATTAAGGTTGATTGAGTGGTGATGTGGAATACATAATAAAAGGTTGAGTAGGTGGCGCGGCGCAATGAAAAGGGGTATATGTGGCACATAGACATTTTTAAAAACGCCTTTTAATATTTTAGTATAGATATTATAAAAGTCAAAGTTAACAATGGAGGGAGTAGCCTTGTCATGGACAAAGTTAGCAATGGTGGGCATAGTCCTTGCAAACCAAACAATTAGCCAAACACAAATTAAAGACAAGTCGTGTATGGGCTCGATTATAGAGTAAAGATATGTAATTTTTATTAATTTTGGTATGAAAAGTGAACGTCTTTGTAATGTGCACAAAATTTTCCAATAAACACAGTGTAGCTTATAAATCATTATTCTTATCTGTGCTGAATCAGGTATAAAGTGAGTTCGTTTCTAATTAGTCAACCTGTATGCCAAGTTGTTAGAATTGAAAATTAAATGGACCTATAAATGACTCGATTTGAGAAAGGTGATTAATGAACAATGGGCCGTATGGTAGTTAATATGATTTATGAGTAATGAATAATGGGTCATAGTAAATTGGAGAATTAGAGCTGTTTTAATTAGTTGTTTTTCTTAAATCAAGTTTTTTTTATTATTTTTTTATATATATATACTTTATTTTTTGCATTCCTTATCTTCAACTTTGCTTTCTTAACCTTTTTTCGGAAAATGATGTAAGTGAAAAGGACTCTAAATAACCTACCTATTAAATGTATCAAATAAGCTTTATAAAATGGTTTTTGTGCCAGTTGTATGAAAAAACTTAAGGGTGGGCGTAACCGATTTATATCGGGTGAAAGATTTCAAGAAACAAAACCTCGATTATGATTGTCATATGGTAAAGCAATTACTCCATATTAAGTAGCATACCAATTAAAGTAAGAATGGGGAAGAGCACAAAAGAAATCAAATTTAAATTTTTTTCTATGGATTGGGCTACATACAAAGCTATAGAGTCGGCGGGAGACAAGATATGAGGAAAGAGGCTAGAATAATTTGATGCCCAAATATCAAGTAGAAACATATATTATAGTAATTAATTCATTAATGGGAATTAATGAAAGTTTTTGTAGGTAATAGGCAGGGAAACATAGGGTAAGTATGACAAAGTGTGTTAAAGTTCACAACAAGGTTTTCGAATAGACATTGTAAATATATGAGACACAACAGTATTAATCAAAACATTTGACCAATTGTGGCTATGACTATGTATAGTTAGTTTTGTAAAACCTTTCCTTCTCAAATGTTGTTAGCATGTTGGCGGGGACGTATTTTAGCCATTGTTAAAGTTTCAGCCAAAGCAATTGTTCTATACGTAAAAATTCAATTTTATCTGAACAAATTTGAAAATTAATTATCCATCTATCATCATTGTTAAGTTTTACATGTCACAAGTTACCTTGCAAGGTGTTGAGACAAAAAACTAGCTATTTATTTCCTCATATACACATTCATTTGAGTTTAAGTACTTACTAATTGGTGCAATAAAATCCAATCCAGATCATAAAGTATATAGAAGAACACAATAAAAGGAATATATCAAGTTGGCATTTCACTTTATCACAATGATCCTCAAACCATAGATTGTATCAAGTCATGCGCTCAAAGCCATTTGGTCGCCCAATAAGCTTACATACACCTTCATGTTGCATAAAATTTGTCTTCATGACTTTATGTTGCTATCTCCTACCCAATTTAGCCCTTTTTGCTAATAATACATCATCCATATATGAGACTGATAATGTTTTATGTAGGACTTGCCCACATCTGGGCATTTGGATGGTGTGCTTAACTACAATCAGTGGCAATTTCAGTTTGGATTCAGTGGGTTCACCTGAACCCGTATTTGATTTGGGGAAAATTCATAATTAGAAGAAAAGACAAATATAAGTTAAATACAAAAACAGTTGCTATAAATTAATATGCATGTTCTTGGTTTAGTGGTCAAGCACTGCAAGTGAAATACCTTCAGTAGCTTGTTGGCGCGGGATCAAAACCTGCCAAACCCCTTTCTAATTTTTTAAACAAGTTATTTTTACTGCACGTTTTTAACATTCTTTTTTAACAATTTGTTTTGGCTACATTTTATTTTTATTACCATTATATTGCTTTTACTTTTCATTAAAATCAAAGCATATATAAGTACTTCATATATATTTTTTCACAATCATATTTTTTGTTTAACATTTTATATGCCAGCCTATTGATTTTCTATAATTTTTTTTTTTGCTTCCTTTTCATTAAAATCAAAGCTTAAATTTTATTTTACATGATCATACTTTTTTCGTACACGTATTATATTATATTTATCAATGTATATCAATTAACTATATTATCTTATATATGTTCGATAACTTCGAGCTAACAATCCGAACCCATATGGAAAAAATCCTAGAACCGCCATTGATTACAATCCCATGTATTAATACATATATGTTTATATTTTTTTTTAAAAACTCCTAGACTATGTGTCTCTTAAGGTCTCATTTTGATAAATCTATATATACCTAGGGTATAATAATAATATTAAAAGATGTATAGACTTTTGTTGGTTTTACACGTCTTCATTCATATGTTTGCTTGAGATATTTTGGCACTTTTTATCGTTCATATTTATAATTTTATTGTAATTGGTATACAATTCTAATTTCCATATTACAAATAAAAGAATTATTCAAGGGGACAACGACTCAAATATCTTAAGAAGACAAGTAAATGGAATATAGAAGGTGCTTGATGGTGTGTCGATTGAAGTGTCAAGCACCGACAAGGGAGGGGAGTGAAAGAGCATTCAGTGAACAGGTGGTGGACATTGGTGGAGTTTGGAAAATTCAACAGCAAGTACTAATCATAACCCTCCTATCCAAAAAGCTCCAAATTAGAACATGCTCTAAAACCTGATTTTTGCATTATTAAATAAATGTCTTTTGGGGTTTCACTCATTAAAATTTGTATTCAAAGGGTTTAAAAGTCCATTGCATATTTCAAGGGCAATACAAGTTACAAATGTCGAGGGTGGGGAAATTTGAACCCTCCAATTCAAAGTACAGAACCCCTTAATCTTAACCTCTAGGCTAAGACTTCATTTGTTCCGTTGCCTTTGATATAACTACATATGCTTAATTAATTAATTTTTTTTTTGTTTGTTTTTTTTTTTTTGAAAGATGCTTAAAATGTGTTAATAACATTAAAATAATAGCTTTATTACATTAAAAAAAATAAAAATAAATAGAAGTCGACTCGAAATGGAGTTTTTGGCTTTCACTTGCTTTCATTCATTTATCAATTGTTTGAGATATTTTGGTCCTTTATATCAATCATTTCTATTAAATTCATTATAATTGGTGTACAAGTCTATTTTATCTAGAAGAATAATTTTTACTAATCTCAATATGATAAAAGAATATAAAAGGCTAAAACTCAACTATCTTAAAGAGACAAATAAATGGAGATTGAAAGACGCTTGATGTGTCCATTGGAGTGTCATGCATTGCCGAGGGAACGAGGAGAGTGAAGGAGCATCTAGTAGTTAGTGCCTAGTGGTGAGGTGGTGGACATTGGTGGAGTTTGGAGCAAGTTAACAACAATTACTCATAATAGTTCTCCCATTCAAATGCACCAAATTAGAGCGTACTCTTTAATCTGACTTTTACATCCTCATCTTGAAATTTAAATCCATTTAGACTTGACAAATGAAGCATTAAGTTAAGTGGGCAATATATCTATAATTCTATATTAATATTTTATACCAAGAAAGTTTGCTATTATATGTCACTCTCATTTTATCACAATTATTTTTTTATTTAAAATATCATGTGTTCTTTTCTCTTTATCTATTTCTTTATCTATTTTCCCCATATATTTCCCTTTCTCCCATCATTAACGCCATCCTTCATCAACTTTTTACATTTTCTAAACAATTATTTCTCATTAGTTTCCCCTCTTAATTTCAATTCAACAACTTTCATATTGTACTAGTATTTCAAAGTTTCCACTTCTCATCCTTACTCCCCTTTATTACATAAACAAATCAATTTTTAAAAAACTAACGAAAATCCGTGCTTTGCATGAGCTTCACACATGAGCTTAAAATTAGTTGCTTCACGTTTATCATCCTTCGCTACATCAAAAACGTGTTGGAAATTGAACAAATTGTGGGCCGAGAGATAGAAACAGCTTCATTCTACCGTATTGGACATGTGTCTTCACAAATTATGTATTCTGTTAGAATTTGATAAGCGCAACCCACAAACACGTAAAATGACCCACCATATAAACTTGCCAATAAACAGCGCATTAAGTTGTTTGGGTATATATATATAGTAACATCTCCAAAATTGGCTAACTCCAAACTTTTCACCGTACCCATGGTAAAAATTCTCAAGATTTTAAGTCTTTTAATAGTTTGTGATTTCATTGAGAACTTGTCATCTTTAAAAATAATCCAAGTCAGGACATCCCGTAAAATAAAATCTTTCATAAAAAGATATATCCATGACCATAGCAATCTCATTAATTAAACCGACAATCGTAACTGTGTATCCCCAATTTCAGTCATCTCTCACTTTAATTTAACTCGGAAAACAAGCCTGATTAATAAATCTAAAAGTCTCCCGATTAGACATTGCCAAACTTCAAAACTTCCTTGACTTAAAAAACAAAAAAAGTTATGTAGTACAAATTTAAATTTGCCCAACCTTTCATCAAAGAACCCCAAAATTAGTCAAATAAATTAACTAAAATTAATAAAAAGGACTCCACTAAGACTAGGGGGTGGCCCATTTTAATTAGGAAACTACAAATCTTATAGGCCACTTCTACTCTACTCACTTCTCTTTAGCTTCCTTTTTCCATTATCCCTTTCTTTTAATTAATCATTTTCTCTCTCTAATTAACATGATCAAGTGTCCTTAACTAGTGCTTTAATTTTTAATTAAGTTATTAATTAAATAATTAAGCACCTCATCACCACCACTACCCTCCATGACTGTGACCCTGTACTTTCTTCAACAATTTTTCTGAAAAAAATTAAAAATTTTGAAGGGAAAAAACCCCACAAACAGTTAAAAGCAGATTGATAAACCAACCAATTTCTTCCCAATTTTGTGTTGATTATTTATTATTAGTACATCCAAAAAAGCTAAAAAATTTTGCAGCAAGTTTACTCAATTTTAAATTTATTTTTTTTTTCTTGGCACAACTATCCATCCACCATAACCCTAAAACTTACTCTTTCTATTTCTCATCATCTTCTGTATTTATTTAATTTTCTCTCTCCTCAAATCTTTGAATTTCATCCACAATTCTCTCTCTGAAAAGGGTAAATTGAAATGGGTTTTTTGAGCTCCGAATTCAAACCACCCAACTGGGTATGGAAGTGAAGAAGAAAAAACCCACATTTTTGTTGTTGTTCTGCAAATGGGGAAGTCTGAAGAAAATGATGAATTTTCTCTCTCCTCAGCTGCTGTTAATGGTGAAGGAATTTCTGGGTCTAATGCAGAAAGAGGAGAGTGTAGTTTAATTTGTAGGGTTTTTAAGCTCAGGTGTATTTTAGCACTTTTGCTTGGGATTTCAGTTTTTCTTTCTGCTGTTTTTTGGTTGCCCCCCTTCTTAAATTTCGCAGATCGAAGTGATTTAGATCTAGATCCACGGTATCGAGGTTAGTTTTTGCTCATATTTTGATTTATAATTTCTGGGTTTTGCATTTTTTTGTTGATTTTGATTGAAGTAGTATTACAGATTAAGTTAGTAAGTAGTAGATTATGTTTGATTTTTGATGAATTGATTGTAATTTAGGTAATTGAGGTATGCTGTTTATTGGGTTTTTAGTGTTAATTAATGGGACCCTTTTTTGATCGTATTTTGATACTTTGTTTTTCCCTTAAAATTGTCGGTGGCCGTGTAATTTGCATTAATTATGTTGCCTTTTAGGTTGGATCATGAGATTTTTGTTTCCCTGGGAGTAGCTTTGTGATGTTAGAGTAGGTTAATGAATTAATTTTACCTTGATTGGTTATTGTAATCTTGTTTTGGATATAATTGAGGATATTTATATCTCATGATGATTGGATGAAAGCAATCACACTGATTGACTGAGAATTGAGGTTTTTTTGGTTGTGCCGCGTCAGTGTGGAGGATGGTCATTTAGTTGCAAAGTGTTGCTCGCGAGTCGTGATGTATGGAATTCGTGTTGTTTGGATATATTCTCGAAGAATTCGGTGAGGGAATTGTTTAGGAAGAACATATGTTAATGTGTGTACGAGGATTACAATGGGAGGGGGTCTGCATATCTAATTGTCTATTGCAAAAGAAGGATTGCCGCATTGGGTTGGTTTTGGTGGACTGAAGCTAGTGAAGCATGAAGAATGACAGTATGCATTGTACAATGCCCCTTTAGTCTGTCTCAGCACTTATACTTGAGTGCTTGAGATTTGCTAAGCCGGTGACTAATCACTGCCACAGTATCATCCTAGTGGACTTGTTCTTTTTTCCTGTTCTTCTCATGCTACATATGTTATGCAGTCTATGGCACAAGATTTCTAACAGAATACAGATAGAGAAAGGACTCAATGGAGCATGAGAACTTGTACAGCTTGAAAAGTGGAGTGGGCATGCTAAACTTTGTTTTTTTTAGCTGTTCTCTTACAGTCTTACCATGTAGAGTTACAATTCTTGCCTTGGTGAGCTGGTCCATGTTTTACTATAGAGTACAAGTTATTTGATACATAAGCATGTCATGAAGATAGTGAGAGGATCGCTATTAACTAACACAGAAGTCTGAGCATTTTCTCGGGTGCTCTACTGGTCTGCTAGAGAAATTACTTAATCTGCTGAAGTCCAGAATGGATTCCCAAAGATGTCATGATATTTGAATGATATGTTGGAGGGTGGACTATTAGTGTATTTACTCTGTGCTTGAGAGTAGTGTATTAATGTACTGATTTATTTATCAACCATAACTCGATGGGCAATGGTTGCTTCAGATAAAGGCAATTGGCCAATACTTCCATGTATCTGTGTAAGCTTAGTAGGAATATAAGGTTTCATTGATTTTTTTTTTAAAGCTTTTAGGATCAAGATGCTGGATTTTAGGAGAAAATGTAGTATATAACCTAAGTGAGCAAAAATGGTGTATTTTTTTCTAGTACAACCGAACTAGTTTAGCCTGCTTCTCAATCTATGCTTTCCTTGGTATTTGCACTAGTATTGGCGTCCTTTTTGCCTCCTCTTACATGCATAACATCATTGTGAAATCATCCAACTGACATTTTACATGCTGTACCTCTAATTTCTGCATCATAGTTTTTAAAAAATTTTATTTATGGAATGTCAAAAGCATCCATTTCATTATTATCAATTCAGGGGCGTATTAAAATAACAATGCTTTAGAGTGTCAGTTGTAGTCTCAGCGACTCAGCCTATGGTCTAGGTCAGAGCCAGTGATCCTTTTCACGGCTTTCTGGGATAATTACTCTATAAAGATGCAGTGGTAATAGACATTGGGAGGGGGCAAGCATGGTGGAGCATCTTTTTTGAAGTGAAAGTTGGGCCTTTTTGGGATAGCTGATTATGCATGTTCAAGGGTCATTACGGATCATCCTGGATTTAGTTTTGGCTCGTGCTGAATTATGATGTCCAGTTAATATATATCTTTACAAGTTACTGTTGTGTGGATTCAATATCCGCCAAATTTTATGCTATTTACATTTGAACTTATTTTTAGTTTATCTGCCAATGCTGATAAGGCTAAGAATGATATAACTATTTGTGAATGCTGTTATATCCTCACGAATATGATGCTAGTATAGGCCGTATAGCATGATTATGATATGCATAATTAGCTGTCTTTACTTGTTCTCGACTATCGTTCTGCTTATGTGCACAATTGGTTATTTGTTTCATGGAAAGCCACATCTGAAAAGAAATCATTATGAAGTGTGAGCAATTATGTTTAGTTATGAATTTTATGACTAAACTCTTTGATCTTATAATTTGTTTTATCATTTGGAATTTCCTAAACATAATTACTAATTACTAAAAAAAAATTGATGTCTAGGTCATACAATTGTTGCAAGTTTTAGATTAAAAAGGCCAGTTTCATTTGTGGAAGACAATATTGAAGAGCTCGAAGGAGGGATCTACGAGGATTTTGGAGCTGCTAATGCAAAAGTATAATCTATAACCGCTCCCATTCTTCTGCATCCTTAGTTTTGTCATATTTCAGTCTTACTGATATTTGTTTTGTTGACTGATGATTAGGTGGCCATCTTATCAAAGGAAAGTTCTGGATTAAATTCTACAGATATCGTGTTTGCGATTGATCCAGTGTCCAAAAATTCTATTTCTTCAGCCCAACTGAGTTTAATTCGAGCAAATTTTGTATCTTTGGTGATACGACAATTCGACTTTGAGTTGATCCCATCTTTGTCTGGAGAGTCATCTTTCTTTGAGGTGCTGAAGTTTCCTGGTGGAATTACTATTAGTCCTCCCCAAATCGCATATCCGCTGCAGAAAGTTCAGATTCTTTTTAACTTCACTTTAAACAACTCTATTCTCCAAATACAAGAAAATTTTGAGGTGCTGAGGAACCAACTTAAATATGGGTTACATTTGACTGGTAATGAGGTAAGTGTGTCGCTTTTTACTTTCATCAAAAGAATATGCTTAATTTGAGACTACTTATTCTATTATATTTTATTTGGTGCAGAACTTGTACATTCGCCTGACAAATTCTAGAGGTTCCACTGTGGCTCCTCCTGCTACTGTTCAGACATCTGTTGTGCTGAAGGTCGGAGTTCCCTCTCAGCCGAGGCTGAAGCAGCTGGCTCAAACCATAAGAGATTCTCCTGCTAGAAATCTCGGTCTTAATAACACTGTCTTCGGTAAAGTCAAACAAGTTAGCCTTTCTTCAGTACTTCAACATTCTTTAAGTGGTGATGCTCCTAGCCCAACACCTGCTCCTACTCCTGCTCCTCTTCCTCACCACCACCACCACCATCACCACCACCATCACTATCACCACCACCATCATAACGACCATGATTATTTACCTCCTACTAGTGCGCCCTCTTTTTCACCTGTGGAAGCTCCTCAACCTGTAAAGAGTGCTCCTCCGCCACAGAGAAGTGCTCCCTCACCTGTGAGACATCGCCGAGCTTTTCCATCTTTTGCCCCTGCACCTGCTAGAAGCTATCAGGCAAGCCCTCCAGGTGCCCATCCGCCTTTTAGAAGCTATCCAGCAGACCCCCCAGGCTGCAGGTTTAGATTCAGGAGTAGGCATTTCCCAAAAAGCCCTCAACAATCTCCTAGGGCACCTAGAATGCCTCCTCGCAGTTATGTTGCTGCCACACCACATCCACAAGCTAAGCCACCAACTCCCGTTGCACATCGGATTTCACCATCTAGTCCTTTGCCAAATGTTATATATGCTCGTGTTCATCCCCCATCAGCAAGTGAAATGGACCCAGGGCCTCCAGACAAGATGCCATCAATCACACCTTCTCCATGTAAGTAATATAATTTGAAGTTTTGTTCTTTGCTTCATCTTTACAATTTCCTCTTCATGGTGCAGTGAGGATAAATTTTGATATAATGCTTCAGTACTGAAAAGTTATCTGGCTTCTGTTCTGCTTATTATGGTCCTGATGCAAATATAACTATCGCATTGCAACTTTTCAATGTAGGCAGGATGGCTAGATTTATTAAAAAAATAAATAAAAAAAATAAATCATCAATTTCATGGGAAGAAGTCGCCTGGAATTGCATTGTTTTAGGGTTATTCTTCAAGAACTTTCCAGGGCTCTGTTCTCACTAGCTTATTTTGCTGAAACTTTGCTCAACTGAACTTGGCTTGTTTCACAATTGACTTATACTTATTTTTCAACTGACTTATAGCTTATTTTTGCTGAACCTGACTGTTTTACTGCAGAGTACAACTTATTTATATAGGCTGAGGAGAACAGAGCCTTAGCTATTGACTAATTTTGTGACACCCAATTGGGATTAGTGAAAACTTGTTGCATGCTCCACTTTAGAGTTGGGCATTGCCCATTAGTTTCATCTTCTATGAGCAGGCAACACAGACCTGTTTGATTTCTTTTGCATACAAGCGGAGTCTATTTTTTGTTATTGTCTATATCTATTTCACATGTAAAGTTTTCTTGTCTGATTAACTGGTTGATTTTGGTGGTCTTGTTGTATTTGCAGCTTCTGGAGATCATATTACAGCTTTTTCTTGGGTAATCTCACTGTTAGTAGCTCTTTTACTGCATAACTGTTGGTAGAATGTGCGATTCCCTCGTCTAGGTGAGTTCTACTCCACGGCATCTAATGGACTTGTTTGTATCATCCAAAATTGAAGAAAGAAAACATCCTAAGCTGGCGGAAACTTGTAAAGTGGGAGCAATGCAAAGATGGCATTCTCCACAGTTGCTTGAGTGAATATACGGTGTTGTTTTTGTACATGTAAATATACAATTGAAACAAAATTCGAGTGGCGGGATGCATTCTCAGGTCAAAGTCCACAAAAGTGGCAGGCCACCTTAATGAGAATGCCATAGCCACTTGTTTGTGTAATGAACTCTCTTCTGCAGAAGTGTAAGGCCAAAGTCAAGAATTTATCATCCAATACATTTTTGCCCTTAAAAGTCTCGGCATCGAAGGCATGCCATGAGTCTTTTTCGTTATATCCGTTGCATTAGGAAACAATAACATTACGGGTTAAATGTTATTACCATATTCGACATCTCAACAACTTTGATCTTCCAGAATTCTACTGGACCCTAATGGTAGGCTGTCTACTGTCTAGATTTGGTATGTGAAGTTGATTAGTACACTTCCTGAAAGCGACACGATATAATTGCCTTATTATTGTATTTTATATCTAGATTTGCTCTGGATTATGATGTATGTTGTAATAGTTTCACGGTGTTGATGGGAAGTAGCTGTTTGCTTGTTGTTTGAGTTTTAGGTTGAGCAGGAATGACTCGCCCAATTTGAGCATCTTTCAGTTTTCACATGTTGGTGACCAACTGGCTTTGCGTATACTTGGAAACCTTAAATAAAGAAATTGGTTGTTCTGACAATCTGACACTACCTATGTTATATTTTAACAATTTATCAAAAAACATATATTCTATTTTCACAAACATAATTTTAATACTATTAAAAGATTTCTATCTTCCTTCAAAAAAAAAAAGGAAAGATTTCTATCTTTACAAGTTTCCATCTTTTTCTGACGGTAAAACAATGCCTTTTATCTTTCAATGTGAAAAGAGGATAGATTAGATTTAGAAGGGCTTTTGAACTTTTGGAGAGAGTTTGTTTCCTTAATTGTAATTGCCAATTTTAGTTGGTGAAAGTATGGTTTGTTCTTAGTAATGTTGTAAAAATTTATTCCATGTGTCTTAATCAACCATCTTTTAGACGAATTTTAGTCTTTTGAGCTGTTGTATATGTTACTTAGACTTGAGTACTTGTATTAGAAAAAAAATAAAATTATTTAAGCATATTGAAATTAGGGTAGCAATTCACTCCTTCCATTTTATAAGGTTTTATAACACCAACAATGAAGCCTTGATTCTGATGATGTGGTCAGGTACGTGATCTAAGGTTTTATCTCTAGTACTTCCTCCGTTTCTTCATAGTTGCAACACACACTTTATCATGGTATTTAAGAAAAGGGGACCTTACATGATATTATACACTTAAAATGGGATTAAGAGGCTGTTAGGAGCAAAATCAAGTGGGGCATGAGATGTAAATAAAGGTAATAGTACAATTTTGACCATATAAAAACCTTCCTTTTATAGTGTGTTGCAACTATTGTAATACTACCTCCGTTTCATATTATTTGCAACAATTTGACATAAAGTGTAAGTGGAAAGTGTATAATCGTTGCAAATAATATAAAACGAAGGTAGTATTTCCATTTTAGGGAAAGTGTTGCAAATATAAAGAAATTAAACAGGGGAAGTAATAGATTAATCCTCACCATGATCTCTCTCCATTCCCTCCTCTCAAGTGTTATGTGAACCTATCACTTCATTTCTATGTTCATGTTTGTCAACACAACAATTCGACCATCATAATTTTATTTTATTCTAAAGTATACTTGTATTACAATATAAAAAGTCTATAGTGTATGACTTCTAAGTAACATATCATAAAACATGTTAGTTATCTTCATTGATGAAAGTTTTAGTAGGTGGTTCTTAGTAATGTATATGAGATTAAAATTCAACTTTAACACTTGCTTTGTGATTGTCTCAACAACATAAATAAATAAATAAATAAATTAATTAATTTCGACTATATGTTCTCAAATAGATCATACATGATTAAATAACTAACACGAAAATATTGATAATTTCAATATAATTCACGTATTTGTGTTACAAATTTATGAAGCATTGCGTTCAGATATTAGGATTACTTTTCACACTTTCTAGTTTTTTAATACATGCAACAAGTGGACTTTAATAATACATTAAAAGTCAACTTGTTACATGTATTGAGAAATTATAAAGATCCAAGAGGAAAAAAAGTGGATGTCGTATGCCTCAAATATTTGAGATGAGCTAATGAAAACATAGATTATTGTAAAAATTAATTAAAAAAAAAATAGTGTTCACGTGTAATTTGGATTTTGATTAAGATCACACATTGATCATAATATCTTGTGGGTTGACCATAATTTAGTGAAATATGGATCATGGACTAGAAGTACAAGTCAATCAGTTATATCACGGGCCTTGACCTTATTTTGTAAATTGGCTTCTTCTTCATCACATGAAATGCTTGACCTAATATGGGCCCAACACCCCTCTAAAAAGGATAAGTCATACAGATAGCCAGATAGGCTTGTGGAGGGGGTGGCAACGGAGGTATCGATGTGCCTTGGTGGTCATGGACGAGGTGGATGTGGCGGGGGGTTGGGCTAAGACGTGAGGGGTGATTGCACGTCTAAGTAAGATATATATTTTTTATAGAACGAAGTAAATTGTTTACCTAGTCTTTATAAATTAGGGAAATTTCCTATATTAAATTTAAAATGTCATGAACATTGTAAGTTTTGTAACCTTTAATATAGTAAATTAGTAATACATCTACATCCGATATAATAATGATAATAAGTCAATATCTCACGTGTAACATGTCCATAAGCTGAATAAATGTGGCGGTTGAGGCCTTGTATGATAGAGGATTAAAATTCTTGTGTTTAGGATTAGTCATAGTAATGGGTCGAATGCTATTCTTTGGATCTAGTCTATGCACCAAAGCACAACATTGCACCATGTACCTTTAATATTCATGACTATAACTCTATGAATGTTACTAAGACAAATGAAATTATGGAGTATACAAAGTGTAATAAAAGTCAAACTGTTGTGAATAAGGAGCAACCACCCAAGGCCCCAAGAAGAAAGGGCTCAAAACTCAACGTCCTGCTATTATACTTAGAAGTACATATACAAATGATGCTATTGTATCTTTTTTCTTTGCCTTGATTTGATCAACTTGTGTTATCAGTATAATTATTATTATTATTATTAATTGCTAGAACATTTAATAATTTAAAAATAGATTTATTTTTTTTCTTTCTAGTTAAGTTTTTTTTTTTTATTTTTTTTTTTCGCATCTTTATTTAATCTTTACTTGAACACTATGTTCTCTCCACTTGAATGCTGCTAGACTCAAATTACTTTTGCGGTATTTGAAACTTATTTTTATGGGTCCTCATATAAAGTTTCATCCCGAACTTATAACATATATCAAGAACGATCCTATTTAATATCGAGTACGGAGTAGCTTCCAATGTAGATCTCCCTCTTAATTAATTTATTACCATATCATATTAATACGTCATGGTTTATTAGCTTTCAGTGTAGATCTTCCCCCTAATTAAATTAATGCCATATTAATACATCAACTAATGACACTTTAACAGTTGACTAAAGTGACGAATTCAAGATGAAGACTCCATAATCAGAGGAACAAACAATTATCTCACTCACTCTCACACTCCCACTACCCTATACACCTGTCACCTTCATTTCACATTTTTTTCATCAAAAAAATCACTTTCTTTCTTTTTTATTTTTCGTTTGTTTTTGCTTTCAACCGTCCATTTATTCAATTATTTTAAAAACATTTAATTTATTTCTTTTTCTGAACTCGAGATTCTGAAATTTTTGAGTCATTATCTCTCCTCCCATTCGCTAATTATTGATAGCCCCAACGTACGAGATATTTCAATAATTTCATACTCTTTTTATTTTTATTTTTATTTTAATTTTGCAAGAACACTATATTAATTTATGATACCGTCACAAAATTGGAATTTTTAGCTCAAAAAAGAAATAATATCTTCCGTCATTGTACCACAATAAAGGTAACATCTTGTTGAATTCCCAGATTATCCCTATTTTGCATTCCATTTATAATTATATGATAATTTGTTATGAATCCTGCATTTTTTCACACCCTTAAAAGTTGAGAACTTTACTGGGTTCAGTTCTAAGGAAATGTGATTAAGTAAGTACCACTTTTGTTTTTTTTTTTTTTTATAATTATTTTTTATTAGATTTTTCCTGCATTATTTGATTCTTATTTTATTAGATTTTAATCTTGTTCATCACTTTTCTGTTCAATTTTAGTGAATATTCATCAATCATTTTGAGAATCTGATCCTCTTTTTCTGGGGTTTATTGGGTTTTGTCTAGGCTATTACAATATGGGTAAAATTCATTTTTTTCACAAATATAGTTAGTCAATCATAATGGAATTTTAATATATTTTTTTTCTTTTCATTTTACTGGTGATTTTGGTGGGTTATGATCAGTTCTTTATTCACTTATCCAATGTATATGTTCCAATTTCCAATTATTGCCAAAGATTGTAAAGTTATTGCTATATGTATTCAGTTTGAGCTTCTTTTAGACTTTTGCCATGTTATCTTTTGTGTGATTTGAGGTGATTAAGAGCTCATTGTATACCATACACTAGTTTTTCTTTTCTGAATGCCACTTTGAAATCTGAATTAAATTAAAAAATTATCTATTGACAATCTTCATTTGGTTCATGCTAGATTGTTGGTGGTAAAGCTGAAGATTTCTGGTTTTAGGAGAAATGGTGAATTTGGGAATATTATCCAGTGAAAATGCAATCAAATCAGTGAGTGTCAGTTTCAGAATACCATATTTTACTCAATGGGGTCAGAGCCTACTTGTTTGTGGGTCAGTTCCGTCACTTGGTTCATGGAATGTGAGAAGGGGTCTATTGTTGAGTCCTATGAGTCAAGGTAGTGAGCTCATATGGGGTGGGAGCATTGAAGTTCCGAGTGGGTTTGAGTGCGAATACTCTTACTATGTAGTGGATGATGATAAGAATGTTCTGAGGTGGGAAATGGGGAAGAGGAGGAAGCTTTTGTTGCCAAAAAGTATACAGGATGGAGAAATTGTTGAGTTTCATGATCTTTGGCAGGTATATATGATTTCTATATACTTGGTTCTACCCTCTCAATGTTTACTTGTATGCAAATACCACTGAATATTATTATATGAGCTTGGCTTTTAAATATTACACTGTTTTTTAATCATGTACTGTATTGTTGTTTCTGTGATTGTATATGTCTTATCGTTTTTTTTCCTAGTGCAAGATGTTAATATGTTATCCTAAGTACTTGTGCTTTATTGATTAATATAATGCTTAGTTTATTACAATAAAGGAATGTAACTGCAGTTCAAGACTGATATACCAAGCAATAACCTTCTTATGTCCTTATAATTATTTTGCTGTCAATATCATTATTGGATGATGGTTAATAAATCTTCTGATAATGCTATTTGGCCCCATTTCAAGGGTGAAGTTTTCCACATTGAAAAGGAAAAAAAAAAAAAAAAAAAAAAACCAAAGAAACATTATGCTAGAGAATTTGGACTCTAGGACATGAA